GCGATCCTGTTTCACCGATACCGCGGAAGAAAAGATCGAAGGAGCTTCGAACGAAGTGCCAGAAAGACTAGGGTGAGGCTAAACGTCGCGGTCTAATGATAATCGACATCGAAAGACATTCAATATACGACATCTGTTCCCGCTGTCGAGATGCAGCGCGACAGTGTTCTTCGATTTTTATTCGATGAAACGAGAGTGAAAGGGAACGAACTGAAAATTAACCGCTGACCTTATCTTATAATCGTGATCTCTGCTACCTATGGTAGTGTTCCTGTTCCTTATAGTGTGACTGTAAAGGGTGAATACTAATTATGAACGATCCTACAAAAAATTGATTCTATTAATCTTTTTGTACGGTATGAAACCGTTCAGTGACTGTTCACCGATAGCACGTGAATGAAATTGCCATAAGTATTAGAATTACATGTATGAAAATATTAACAAAAACTACCAATCACATTAAAAATGGCGTCAACGTACAATCTCTCAAGTACAATCTATTCGTAACACATATATTTTTCAATTTAACAGAGATATCCACCTCTTCTATTCCTGATTTACCCTGTAAAATATATTTCCATCACACTAAAAATATGGCGAAAAAGTGCGTGAAATTCCTCTCAGAACACCCTGTTAGAAAGAGCCGAATGAACTCGAAGAATGATGAAATTTTATTACTCTTTTTCTCGATTTACGTGAACTTAATTTAAAGTTATGGTAAAAGGAAGAAAATTTCTATATTTGATCCACGATTATATTCAACGGGGAGCTTTTTAATCGTAATCGAGACTCGAGAATACTGAGGATACCAGACTATCTCACCACCGATGCGGAATTATACCGTTGGTATTACCGGTAGCTTCGCAAAAGTTACGAGAGGATATTCAGATCGATCATTCCGGTTGAATATTTTCTGGTAATGGAACATGAAGCCGCGTAACGATGTGCTCGGGTTGAAACGAGCACCGTCAATGACGGCTCTTTCAAATACACAGATAAAGATGTAACTTTCTCACTTATCATCGCGGTTTTCAAGTTTAATTATATCATTATAGATGTTGTTAGATTCTACCACGCGTACTCTTTCCATTAAATGGGACCATAAAATCTAATATCCATAGAGATAAGAAGATATAGAACTTTTACAAATGTTGGTCTTACAGTTAACAAGTTGAATGAAACTTTCTGGATTTTGTTAAATAAATACATTCTTCTTATTTTTCTACTAACAAAACTATCTGGTTATTATTAAGTGAATTTTCGCGATCCGCGAGGGAAGTTATATAATTATTAATATCCTCAAAGGTAATGTTACTTGGGATGTCAAAAAGTATCCCGAAACTTCTTCTAAGAAACACCCATTTCTCAACCGATTCTGCGATATAATGACCATTCAGCGTCGATATGCACGTTTTTACGCATTCATTCGCGAATAGTAGACCCCTATGTCCTTACACGCCTCGAACAGCGTTTAATTCTAAAAAAACGGCAACCTTTTTTCGTCGAAATTCCGGCCGCAGGCGTACTTGGTCTGATTTCCCAGAAACGTTACGCACAGCGCGCGCGGAACGGAACAAAAAATCAAGTACGATGCACACAGAGTCCTTTTCATTGATATAACATATTTGCTCGTCAAGCGATCGTCGCCCGTCAAGAGAACGAACAAAATACATTCGCAACTACTTTAATAGGTTGTAAATACAAAGTCGAACACAAAGAACGTTTGTGTTCCCTTTTAGGTGCTGCACTTATAACATACACGAAAAAACCTGTACTGAAACATTTGGTACTATTATAGTGTACTTCAACGAATCTACATGCATCTAACAGATATAATTACTAATAATAGCTTGTTTGCAGCCATTGGCTAGCTATTATCCGCGTTTTGCAAAACTTTATCGAATACCGATTGCCCAGGTCTCACCATGTGGAGGTTGCTGCCAATGGAGACCCGAGGAAGATAGACGGAATCACAAGTTCTACGTCTATCAACCTTTTACAATTTGTCTCGTTATAATCGACTTAAATCTTAGTACGCTTGCGCCGAATACACACACACACACACACACACATACAACACCTTAAATTAATCGCAACGAAGAAACATATGTTCAAACGAAGGGGATTATCGCAATAGAGTTACCATTCATCATGTCGTTCACGCCCCGATACCAAGCTATTATTAAGTGTAAACTAGAGTAGATATATATGAACATACTTTGTTATAAGTTTACTCAATAAGCATATGTAATATAATTAAAAATTTATATCATCTTGTATTGCAGAACTGAATCTCAACAGAGATTATAATAAAAATAAAAAATCAAATAAAAATATATAACAGCACACATTAGTTGATGTTCTTTTAACAGGTCAATATTCTTTCATTCTATCTCATTCAATTTGCAATAAAAATGACTCAACTTTGTATTAAGAAAAATTGAAAAACAAATATTGAGTACTTATTAATTTAATAGAATGTAGTCATTAAGAAAAATTATAAAATATGAAATTAGATCAAACTATTCAATGATATTCTCATTGGATACCATTTTTTATTATCATTGTGTGATTATATTGGTTTGTGCAAGGAGGAAGTCAGAGGTTGTCACATTCCTCCACTAATGTTTCATTCATCATATATGTATTCAATATATTGCCTATATCCATATACATATGGATATTTCATATACACAATGGACTCAAGAATAGGCATTGAATATTAAAAGCATTAATACTGCTTTGTCCAATTATAAAATGTTTATTAATTGTATGGGAGTAGAAAATGCTACGTATAAGAAGATCCTACCCTAGCTAAGAAATACAATTGATCAATGTTACTATTCGAAGGTATGATAGCATATCCACATTCACTGTACTCGCCAAATTTAGAATATATATAATGAGTTGCCTGTGCCACTTTGGACTAATTGTCCTATGGCATGATTGGGGACTGGAGTAATAAAAAAGGCATACAAAGACTCACCCGATGATAGAAGAGTGTACAGTCTTTGCTGATGGAACTTCACATTAGAACATCCAATTTAGTGTTCAGTGATGCAACATTTAAAGGAACTAAAAAAAGAAACAAGACAAATTTATTACACTCAATATTATTATTACTGATAAATATAACACGACAATTATTCAGTTTATAATATTTATGAATTACGTTGTAGTATAATACATAACTATGTTGCAATCATGTTTGTTTATTTACTTAATCAATGTCCCGCTTTTCTACATATTCATAAAGTCATTACAAGTACCACAGTTGCATTATTTATGTATGCTTTGATAAAAAGCATGATAAACTATGCAGCTTGTATTAATAAAATTTACACCAAAAACTGTATATAAATGCAAATACAATAATCTCATATGGAAAGACACAAGAAATTATCTATAATCTATTTTAATACAATTTCACGACCGAGATACGTAAATCACAAACATTTCCAATTTGAATGTCTCAAAGTATTGTAGTTCAAATTTTGTAACTTTCAAGGAAGCCATTTTGAATGCTTCAACTATATAACTACATGTATTGAAAAAATTGCTCCAAAAAATTCTGATTTGATCTTAGCACAAATCACGAAATCACGATTATTTCACTTACGATTAAAAACAATATAAAAATACGTAATGAAGTGTCAGTTTGTTGTCATAATAAATGTTATAATAAATATTATAATAACTTACCAAAATTCACCAATTTCCCGCCGAATTCCGTTTGAAGGCAGTCAGCGATGCTCAGCATTGTAGTGCGTACTTTCAAACCGAAACTCTGAAACAGAAAATAAACATAAACTTTAAGTAATTAGACTACGTTAAAAATAGTTAGGTTACAAATGAATAATTATTGAACTCGTGGTGTGTCGCAAAGGTTGCAAATTGGGTCAGAAATACGTAAACATTACATTAATTGCTACACAGTGAAACCGAAGATTAAACCGAAACCTACGGTATCGAATTAATTTGGGATTATTTAGTCTAAATTGGATAAATATTAAAGGACAGTAACGATAGAGAGCTAATGAAGGTCTTGCGGTTCATTCGGCTATCTTCGGGAAATCCCGAGTAGCTGATTGGTCAGAGCGGTATATCCTCCAGTAATACGACTTGGCGGGAACAAACATGTACATCACTCCAGTTTAAACGGTGAATGTAACACTTAAAAAGAAAACGCCAAAAATATATATGTATTTTGTCACTTATCCAAAAGATAACTTATTAAATGTCCATTAACATGTTCATAGAAAATACTAAATTTATTCAGACTTTACTAAATACGTAATGAAGTGTCACTTTATTCTCATAATAAATGTTGTAATAAATATTATAATAGCTTACCAGAATTCACCAATTTCCCGCCGAATTCCGTTTGAAGTCAGTCAGCAATGCTCAGGACAGTAGTGCGTCCTTTCAAACCGAAACTCTGAAACAGAAAATAAACATAAACTTTAAGTAATTGCACTACATTAAGAATAGTTACGTTACAAATTAACAATTACTGAACTCGTGGTGTGTCGCAAAGATTACAAATTGAATCAGAAATACGTAAATATTATATTAATTGGTACACAGTGAAACCGAAGATTAAACAGATACCTAGGTATTGTATTAATTTAAGATTAATTAGTCTAAATAGGATAAATATTAAAGGGCAGTAACGATAGCGAGCTAATGAAGGTACTAGTAATTAATATGTATGAATAAAGATGAAAGGTAATTGTCAAACACTCACTTTGGCACAAGCAAACGTCTTCTACGTCCTATCGCGTTAACTTCTCCGAAACGAATGACACTTCGGTTACATTCGGCCAATGGACGACTGGTGGGGAAAGCGCGCGGGTAATTGGTGCTCGTTAATTTATTAGTTCCTGGAAGTTTGGCCCTCTGCAGCCCCGAGATGATCAATTATCGAGCGACTACTGTAACGGCTGATCAATCGGTAAAACAACTCAGAACGTCTCGAATTACTTCCTCCGGTTCATGCCTCGTTTGTCGAGTCACGTCACACAAGGTTCTTAAAAGAATTTGTTAAAAATGGCACTCGTTTACGGCACCTGCGAAACACCCGGCTGCAAAACTATGACCAGCCGTCAATGCCCGACTTGTCTGAAAATTGGTATACAAGGATCATATTTCTGTACTCAGGTAAGAAAACACCTACTACGGTTTCTTAGGTTAAGTGGGGATACGAATCTTCATGCCTGATACTTTGATTCGCATCACATGACAGAAATCGACAAGATTTTGGATTATAGGCACAGCTTACATTTGCTTAATTATTCCAATGATCGTTACGTAAATTTGTCGGCAATCTTTACTATTAATATACGATGCTACACGCGCGCGTAACGCTTTTGAAAAGGAAGCGTACAATATCATTTTTTTAATAGGAATTATTATTAGTTTGTTCAGATCTTTTGATATTTTCAATTTGTTCCTGTGTTTCAGGATTGTTTCAAACGTAGCTGGGAAACACACAAAGTTATCCACCAAATAGCGAGTGAGTTTAATTCTTATATATGAAGAGCACAGGGGAAAAACATAAGTCCATTTTTGTTGATTTTCTGACCTTTGTCATCTGGTAGCTAAAAGGGAGTAAGATTAAAAAATGTAAGCCTTTTAAAAATAAATATACAGGGAAATAACATGACCAATACAAGTGGAACAGAGGAATAATTTGATAAGTCCATGAAAACTCAATATTAGAAATTTAATTTGAAAAGTTAAATGGCTTTTTAAGGGTAACCTAAGAATTGGTTACTTAAAAAAAATAATTATGAACAAGAAGAGAAAGCTGATTGATACATCCATAAAATTTTGTAAAAAAACTAAAAGCATAACTCATGTTATGACAATCAATATTTTTGAAATGTTTAAGAGGGTGATTAATCCCAGAACCAAATAAACGCACAATTTTGGTAATATGGGATTGGTTGAAAGTGTTTTGAACTTTAAAGTTGCTCCCTTATAAAAAATGGAAAATGTGACTTATCATGTTTGTCTTCTGTAATCTTCATATGTAATACGTGTCTATAGCACTGAAAACTTAATGCAGTTGATTCTTCATCTTCTTATTATTATTATTACATGTAAGAATATGTTTAAATAATGGTATATAAAATAATTTGTTAATGTAGATATTTACTTAGAAGGAACAGGTAGAGATGAATCTTCTAGTGAATACAACCCATGGCCATCGTATGATTATACTGGTAAATTACGACCATACAAAAAAGAAGCTCGTCGAGAAGTACCCAAGCATATTGAACGTCCAGATTATGCCACCCACCCCACAGGTGTTTCTATAAGTGAGCAAGCAGTTCGAGGTTCTGCCCAGATAAAAATCCTTGATGATGATGAAATAGAGTGTATGCGTGTAGCTTGCAAGGTATACCAATTACTATAAGTTTCTTTTATGTTATATAGAAGAGTATACCGTTATTTTCTTTGCAATGAAAAGGAGATATAAACCAAAATTACTTTCATAGCTTGGACGCGAAGTATTAGATGAAGCAGCACGAACGTGTGATGTGGGTGTGACAACTGCTGAGATCGATAAAGTTGTTCACGAAGCTTGTATTGAAAGAGACTGCTATCCATCTCCTCTGAATTATTATCAGTTTCCAGCTAGTTGTTGCACTTCTGTGAATGAAGTGATTTGCCATGGAATTCCTGATACTAGACCGCTCCAAGATGGAGATATTTGCAATGGTAATACATACTATATCATTGTCAATATATCTTTACTTTAGTGACAACGATTTCATAATTCTTTTCCCGTACAGTTGATGTAACTGTGTTTCATCATGGTTTTCACGGTGACTTAAACGAAACGTTTCTAGTCGGTAATGTGAAACCCGAAGTAAAGAAATTAGTGGAAGTTACTCATGAATGTTTATCAAAAGCTATTGACATTGTACGACCTGGTGAAAAGTATAGAGAAATTGGGAAAGTAATTCAAAAACATGCTCAGGCCTATGGATTTAGTGTAGTACGTAGTTATTGCGGTCACGGAATACATCGTTTATTCCACACTGCCCCAAGCGTCCCCCACTGTGCCAGCAAGTATTTCGTTTTACAATCGTTCTGTTACGTGAATCTTTTTAGTGCAATGTCTCTTCATCATTTTCAGAAAATAAAGCTGTAGGCGTTATGAAACCAGGACATTCCTTCACTATAGAACCAATGATATCTCAAGGCACATGGAAGGACAAAATGTGGCCAGATAATTGGACAGCTGTCACTGCGGATGGTCTGTGGTCAGCGCAGTTTGAGCACACGCTATTAGTTACAGAAACTGGTTGCGATATTCTCACGAAACGACTCACTAATGATGGCAAACCATGGTTCATGGACCGATCATAGTAGTATTTTCTCATGAATTATCGTCATGTTACATTATTTCAAATTTTGTGGACATATAAGCGTTGTACTGCTTAAGCACCCTTGTTTGGTTAAGTACCCTTAGAGCGAGATTTAGTTTTTCAAGTTTCACCTTCTCTTACGGGTTAAACATCGATAGTGATATATTAATGGATTAAAAAATCATTTCCTGTAAAATATTTTTTATTATACGGTTGTTTTATTGGCTAGTTTTGTAAAGTAGAAAGAAAAGAACGAGAGGTAAGTAATGATCTTTGAAAAATAGAATCTCGTTGTATGTTTTGCATTTGTATTCGGAATGGCTCCTGTACCATATAGAATTACCTCATTGATACATATGTACATACATAAGTGTAACTCAAATTGGTGATGCGCAATGATTGAAATAAAAAATCAATTCTGTAAATCAATGGCCAGCGTCTGTCCATCTTCTTTACAGCCAAGTGCAAGTACAATTAACAAATTAACCTAACAATAAACAATTTCAAATAAATTACTATGTCCTCTAAGAAAGGCTGTTCCCAGTGTATCGTCGACGAAACTTGTTTAAATAAAAAAAAAAATGCTCGACAACGTGGCAAGCTGTACCCTAAGGAAGTTTCTACTTGTACTTTCGTTTAATTCCTTTCTCTACAAGCTCCGTCGACATACCCTGCAGAAACAGCACGCAGGTTCCCATTTTGGAGCAGCCATACTCGTCACCGAGTGTGTTACACAAAAACCCCGAACAGAAAGCTAACCGGTTAACAAGATTATAAATAAATATTCACGATATATACAGAATACTCTGCAAACGGTGATTTACACCGTAGTCTTAGTATTTAAACGCGATCCAAACTCGGAAGTCGACTGTTCAGATGTTCTTCCGTCAGATTGCGAACTCGTAACATCCTGATCGTCATTCTCGTACTCGTACTCAACTTCCGAAATTTCCTTAGCTTCGTCGTTCTGCAACTCTCCGTTACTGTACTCATTTTCATCCGGTACCATAATTCTCAAAGGTCTTTTATTACTGTACACGCTACTCTGTCTCTGACGATGGGACTGTCTATCGTACTCTATTCGTTCTTCCTGTTGCTGTTCCTGCTGTCGTTGCTTTTCTCGATTCTTCATTCGATCTTGTTGAGCTTTTAAATCGTAGTTGTCGTTAATTTTTTGATTCGTTTCGTAATCATCGTGTTTATGATTGGAAGGTATCGCTTCTTCATTCTGCACCGTCTCTTGTAATTGCTGCTGCTGTTGCTGCTGTTGCTTGCGAAGGTGGCCTATCAGTTGACTGTTTACGTTTCCAGCGGCTGCCAGGGCTGCTAACTTTTCAGCCGCTTCCCGATTCGGTAATGTTGTATAAAATTGTGTGGATATCCCCTCGTCGTTGGCAACTTTGTTGAAATACGTCGCCTGAGAGACACTCCTATCGTTAGTCTCGTCGTATTCGATGTTGTTCTCCAATTGTTCGGTACCGTCCGCGATGTACGAAAGATCCTCGTTCTCTGGTAGATTATTGGCGTCATCCTGATCCTCCAAGGAATCCTCCGATCCCACGTTGTAATTCGTATTAACACGACCGGCGACATAATCCTGGTTGAACACAACCTGCTGCTGTCGTTGCTGCTGTTGCTGCTCCTTGTTATCTTGCTCGTCGTAATTGAAGGATTGCATCTGAGGCTGCGAGAAACCTGTTACTCCGGTAGGTTGGAAGAATTGACCGAGTTGCTGTTGAAGTATCTGCTGCTGAAGTTGGGGCTGCTGACCTGGAATCAATGTGCTTCGATTCATCTCGTTACTATGCCGACATCGTTAATCGGAATCGGTGTGCCACATCGATAATGTTTAATTCGGTTTAATCTGTAGATTTTATTGGACGTTCCTATCTCACGTTCTGGAAATGATAGCGCGGTATATACTTTCTCTTACCACATTCTAATCGGTTTCACGTTGATTACCATGCACACCTGTTTTACTAGGACGCGTTAACAATTTTATTGTACAACGAGTGAATAATATAGCGATACAAAAGAAAAGGGAATAGTAGGCTGTTCATTGTGCTGAAACGAGAACTTCCTACCGTGTGTTCCCACCTTAGGAGCATGCAAATTTCCTGAAACTGTCGTAATTCCTACCTGTGCAACGAGGCTAAACTTGCTTTCTTGTGTTTTCTTTTCTAATCTTAAGGCACTTTTCCCCTTTAGCGGCCCGAAAAAAGATTATATTTAGCAATTTTTTTTAAAGAAAGCAAGGAACATATGATAAAATTCTCCCTGACTTTTATTTATTATACTTTCAAGTAAATAAGAAAATGTGTTAATTCAAAATTGCACTGTTACAAACGGTGCCCACGATATCTCGATGTAGAGTAGTCCGAAATGAAATGTTCAAAAAAATTATTGAATTTTACTCCGACATCTATCGTACGACCTATCATGAAGTCAAAAAAATAAAATGGCCGCAATTGGTATGAGTTTTAACAAAGATATGCAAAGAAAAGAAGAAATTTTACGTATATTATTGTGAATAGCAAAAGAATTTATGTTTCAAAATTTGCAATAGTGTGTCATACGATAGCTGATTTAATTACAAAAAGAATGCTCCAGGAAATTTTAAAATCGGTTAATAACTTTTTGTGTTATGTTGGTCACCGTTTGCACGGTGCAATGTCGAACAATTCAAAAATATCGAAACAAAAATTATGTTCATTTACCTGAATGTATAATAAATAAATGTCAAGAAGCTTTTTTACCATATCTTCTTTGCTTTCTTTAAAAAAATAAATGGTTTTTTAAAGAAAGCAAAGTCATCATTTTTTTCGAGCCTCTAAAGAAAAAAGGGACCTTAAAAATACAAACAAATTGTATGAATTTTTACTACTTTAAACTAATTTATTAAATAGTCAAGTGATAATATCTTGAATTAATGGCAACCTTACCCGTCTGGTATTGTTCAGGCATTTTTTGTGGAAAGCTGTTCAGAAGATCATAAAGTTGCGTCGCCGATAATGGCGGCCCAGCTGGAGCTGGATGACCAACGTGTAAATCAGGTATTTGTTGATTTATAATGTACGGCGTTTGGCTAACAGTGCCAGGGAAGCCAACGTGCAGGGAACTGTGAAGATTCGTTTGCATCGGTAGATTCGGTTGTCCGAGTTGTATATTAGTTCCGATCAGTCCAATATTCGACGCCGGCTGATTACTCAGATACACGTCGTTCGTTTGCAAATCGGGGTTCACTATGGTCGACAACCCGGTCGCGTAATCTGGGGGAAAGAAGGTTGGTAGAACAGTTTGGTAATCCTTTTGATTAATATCGTTGGTCTCGGTCACTTCGTAGTGGTGTGTCGGTGTGGGACTTGTCACTGGTTTCTGCGGTGCCAAACTTGTGCTGATCGCGGCGATGTCATAGTGTGGTAGCAGTGAACCTTTAAGAAAAGGACAGCAAATCATAATGATACTTTGGCTAGTGGACAAGTTATGTTACGCTTTTAAGTAACTTTAAACATTCACTCATTTTTAACTCATTTTATCTAATAAAGTATCAATACGAAAAATTAGAATTTCGTTAAAAAAAATATACCAGTTGATATCAAAATGATTTTAAAAAAGAATTTCGAAAAATGATTGTGTACAGTCGTTTAGAAAAGTATTTGAATAATCCATAGAAGTAAAGAAAGTTTATTTTTATAGTTTATACATATATGATTAATATGTGCATGACTTTATTATTCCATTTTTTGTTCCATCTGACTTCTCCTACCACTTCTTAAAATATTAAAACGCATATTTGGGGTACCATGTATCTGTCTCAACCCTTAACTGCAGGTAGACAAATTTGAATTTTCCTTTCACTGTCACCACCTAATAAAGTATTTTAAAATGATAAAGAGAAATAACATTCAATTGGTTACTAAAAGTGTTAATCTCTGAGACGAGTTGTCTATAATCAAGAGTTGAAGATAATCTTTTTGGATCCAATTCCGCTCATCCAAATACTCTCCCAAGCGACTGGACTAAAAACTGGTCTTCTAATAATTTCAGTAAATGTTTTTGTTTAAGTGAAAGTGACATAAACGAAGCAAAAATTCAGTTAACTATTCGAGCAAAACGCTGTTAACGACTAACCGTGAGGATTAATTTTGTAAGTAGCATCGGTGATCTGCTGTCGTTGAACGGTGTCCTGGGCGTTCGTTTCCCCACTGAAGGGTTTGTCCATGGGGCTAAGGTTAGGCGCTGGAATCGTATGAATCGGGCCTTTGTCGTCGTCTAAGCTACCCCTATGAGTCGGCGGTAGAACCGCGGCTTCCGGTCTGTACTCTGGACTATATTCAGGCATTTTGTTCACGGTATGAAACTCTTTCATCGGTGGTCGCTGCGGAAGAACCGCGTGATTGTTTAAAGGGACTCGAATCGGCATTTGATTCTTCCAAATGTTAGCTGGCATGCTGTACATCGGCGGACGTCGTACTCTGCAACGGAATGATCCATGACGATCGATAACACTTCAACGAAATTCTGAAAATTCTAAAATGATGGAGTAAAACTAGTTGTATTTACTTGGTTTTTAATTGCTGAATACAATGGTAATCTGACTTTTAACGCCACCTAACTCTTCAACGCCCAGACCCTTAAGTCGTTATTTCAAAATTATGAGACTGATATGTATGTCATCATATCTTGTTGTTTCGAAGTTGAAAATATTAATATTAAATAAATCTATCTTTTTTTTATTTATTTTAGAAAGGAATACTTGAATTTCTCAACTGACAACGCGGAGATTGTCTTCATATCTGTGAAACTATGGATCCTTGCTGACAAAAGTTAGATATTAACCGGCGACAGAATTTGACGCACTTTTAAAATGAGTGTTGCACCGATACTGGGCATTAAAGGGTTTATTTAACTGTAAATATAGAGCTGTAAAAATCATGTGATATGCAGGGTGTCCCCAAAATCGTGGTAGAACCAGTAAGGTGGTAATTCTACATTCAAAAAATAAGTTGAAAAAAAGAATTACATTTTCTCATTTAAGGCTTCGTTTTTGAGATAATCGAATTTTAAAATCTGTTGGATACGCGTGCAATGGCATGCATTTGATAGGACTTGGATAACGCGTCTGTTCATTGCATTCCGTTTCTACTTACTACCGAACGAATACACGCGTTTTATGTAGATTAATGAATCGAACTGAATAGCGCTAACTTTATATCTAAAAAGACTTTATTACGTATAGGGAAAAAACTGAAACCAGCATCGTGTTGAACCTTTAATTAACACAAAAAAACCAGGTTTAGTTCCATCATTTTCGAACATGTTGAACAGTGTAATTAACCCTTTCATTCCCAAATTATTTAACAATTACGAAAAAATATTTCTTTTTGCATTTTTGTCTATATTACATGACATATAAATGATTCATCAGAACGCTTTAACATTTCGAAAGCGTTAAGTGCCATTTTTCATTCGTTGCCATTTGACAGCTTTTTTACGTCTATCGCAATTCTATATAATAATTGACATTATAAAGATATTATACATAATAAAACCTATTGTTCTTACTTTTGATCAGTGAACCGTCGTGAAATATTAGAAAGAAATTAAAGTTTTATAAGTACTTAAATAAGAACTACAATATTGTAATGTTAACAATACTCAACACTTGAGTTCCAAGAAATTAAAAAAGCAAAGAACAACAATATTTTATTTTGCCAATAAGCTTTTAAGAGCCTATGAATCTTTGTGTTATGCCATCTATAGAAAATCAGAAGAAACTATAATATACTCACGGATATGAAAAAATGAATAGAACTAATATTTAATTTCGTAAATTTAAAATACGTAGCCATATGACTACAGTGGGGACGAAAGGGTTAACGGCCTTCGTTTGCTATGATTCGAAAGATTCACCTGTAATTTAAAGGTTTCTGGGGAGGAATTCGTTTCGGCGGAAAATTTCCGTTAATGTACATTGTATTCCCCATCGAGATTCTGTGGGCGATCGGCCAAGATTTTTTGTACATCAGCTGTGGCGGTGGTAGAGGGGGTCTTCTCATCGTGTATCTGGCTTCGACAAGGCAGACACACGCGACCAGCAGCCAGCATATCAAATTCGTCGCCTGAAATTTGTTTAATAGAGCGTGTCGGACAGTCCACTGTCTTTCGCGAGAACCTGAAAAGTGTGAGTTGGGTCGCCGCCAATTACTGCAGCTGGTAACGGTTACTGGGGGTCTCCCCACATCTACATTCGCTGTTCTTCCGTTTCTTTTAATAGAATTCCGTTAAAGAAGTTTTTTATCCTTTAGTATTGGGGTTTTATTCCTTGAACCTTGTTCCACGGTATAAACAGTGCGGAACATTAAAATTACTTGGACTTTAAGTACGTGTTGTAGATGACCGTGATAAGGTTTTTAAGAGTAAATATTAATAAAATCGGATGCATTATTCGAACAGTTATTAATTTTTATAAAATTTAAAATTGCTTCTTGAATGTTAACGAGATATAGTAAAATCAGTCATAGAATTAATAATTATTTTGTAATTATCATTTTTGAAATTTGTTGTCGATTTTTAATAGAACCTCGCGTAGGTGTACTTTCGCAAAAGGACATTCAAGAACCGGTTTGCGTTCATATCTACGAAATATTCGAGGAATTCTTAACGATCGGAAAAGCGAACACTCCAGAACCGGAAATCTAGACCTATCCAGGAGTTTCTTACGGTATTCACATATCAACACGTGCACCTTCTTTCATTCTTGGAGTATAGTCGGTGCGTACGACGGATGAAAGATAATCCAGCGATTCTCACATCCTCGTATACAACTAAAGAAACATTTTTAAGAAATTAAATATTTCCATGTTGTCGCATATTACTCTTTAAACATAAATAAACCATCTATTTAAAATTATTCACTCTGTATTCAACAAGCAGAGACCTTTCTAATAACAATACATTATTATCTTTTGTTGAAATATTTATTTTCTTTGAGTTCTGTTGAATTTTCTGGAATTTGGAAACAATATACGTCATTTTATTTAACGAACTACTATTTCTAAATTACTGGAACATTCATTAGCTCAATCATAAATTTATTCAGACCTAATTCGTTTCATTGTATTCAAAGTTGCATTATTTATTCAACTACAGTAAATCGTTGATAAGTGTTCGTAAACTAATGGCCATATGCGACTGAAACAAATATTATTGTCATCAGAATTCCAAGCTCTATCACTGTGGTACGTCTCATTAAAAAGTTTGCGTTACACCTGGGGACACCTTCTTGTTACTGCTGAAAAGTCTTCGAACACTTATCGAGGATTTACTGCACTCCTTCTCAATTGTTAGAACATTCATCAGCCCAATCATTAATTTCTCCAATTCGATTCACTTCATTCAAACAGTTCGATGAATTTTAACAATACTTTGGTAATTTTAGTAAATAAATTCAGATGGAAAGAAGAGTCGTATGTTTCAATTGTAAACGCAAATAACAAAACGTAACTGCTCATAAATAAATCGTTTCGAAATACATCGTTTCGTATTCGATACAATTCCACCGTGTTGCATTCAACGGTGATTTCAACGACCGCAACAATGGCCCTGGCAATGGTCCCCATTGTTGCGCTGACCGATTCTGTTGTAGTTTGAGAAACCCTGGGGCATATGCAATGAAACCGAAGAGAGAAGTGCTGCGTGTTGTTAGCGAACCAAAGTGGGACGGTGTGCCACATCGATGCAGGAAAAGCGAGGGTAAGAAAGACAGAGAGGAGTGTGTGAGGTCGAAAGAAAATAGTCGAGCGTGGAAATGATCGTACGGTTCGTATGGAATTAGAAATGGCGATCGTCGATGCAACCTGTTCCATCCAGATCGTTACGTTTCGTTTTCGCGGCCCTAATGTCTGACACGACAGGATAAATCTTATACTTATTTTATGATGACTTTATCTTTTATTACAGCGCCAGTAGGTTAAATATCAATTTCGAATGTTCGTAAACGTTTTTGTCATTGCAACTTCTCTGATGGCGTCTTCTGCTTATTTAGAAACACATTTATGACGGGAAACTCGATGAAGTTTCCATTTTTTTCCTGACTATTTAATCAGATTACGTTTAATTTACATGATATGGTAGTATGGAATTTAGTTAAATATTCAATTAGAATTCTTTGTACCTGTTTTCTTCTTTGTCCTTTATTTCGTTTTAAAATTTATATTTTATAACTGTAATGTTTTTTCATTCGCACGATTCGTATGTACCATTGTAATAAGGTACTTAATTGAACGTGAAGTCATTAGTACTGTAAACAAGTTTTATGATATAACGTTAATTTAGTTTGTTACAATATCGTATGAATAAGTGTTCTCCGTTCCCTATTAGTCCTATTTCCAGCAAAGGAGGTATTTCCCCTAGAATGATCGTAGAAATACCTGCTTCATGTTAATGATAACGTTCCGGCATCGCCCGACTATTCTTTCTTTTTTGTCATATAACGGAACAGATTTCTATATTGGATGGTCGGATCTATTAACATGCTTCTTCAGTCGTAACTATACATCTGTGTCATTACGACAGGAATATTGTGGTTCGATTTGTACGTACGATATTGACAAGATTATATGCTAATTGCGACAATTACAATTGCTTTAAAGATATAATAATTCATTAGTATGATAAAACGTACAATAACACATATTTAAAATAAAGAATTATGAATGATACAGTTATTAACGAACACAAACATGTATAGAAAACATAATTATTAATAGTATATAAAATCAGTTACCAAACTAATTCTGTAAAAAATTAGAAGAAAAGACATATACTATCATGTACACTAAGTTTTCTATGAATTCAATTTCCAACTGTTTCTAATAAATATCCACAGTTGACTAAGATTATTCAAAAAATCATTCCACTCAATTTTGCCTATTTAAATCTGTTCAATCGTCTGACACTGTAATTTGAATTTCAATATAATTACTAAATAGTCTTCAGATTTTAATGTTAGTACATGTACATTTTAATAAATTCACTACTAAATTAAATCATCCAAGAATACACGTGTCTGAAAGTGACCACTTCGATCGAATCCTCGAATCAGGTCTAATTATTTAATACAATAAATTGTACAAAAATTAAATATATCTACGAAGTAGATGCCCATCAGATATCGATAAATCGTAATGACATTGTCAAGTGTCACTTACCCCCATCGTGATGTCCAGCGATGAATCGTAGCGGCGAACAAATTCTTATTTTCAAAATAACCACCGACAACTTTCCGTTCGCACTGGAAAAAAGGTATTCGATATCGGAAATCAGGTTTCAATCACAAACAACCGAGTATAAAGTTCGCGCGCGCGCGCGCGATGATTGGACGTTGAGGAAGCACTGCGTGTTCTGCACGCAATTAGGTCATTGTCCTTCATTTATACTCGCTACCCGGCGAACGTATCATCGAAGGCCGAAACGTCTGCCTCCTACCTTGCTCTGACGGATAACAGCTGCCACGAAATGCGGAACGTACACGGGAAAAGTCATCGGTTCCACGAAATTCACCGGAATTCCCAATTTTGCCATTGTTCGTCCCGCGACCCCTTACGGAATCGCCATCGTGGCTGCTGATTCTTTTATGTAAATGCAAACGTGAATGAAATCCTCAATGTAAGATTTTCACATTTTTAATAGCCTTCTGAGGAAACATTACGGAACTGTGGTTGCAATGGCGGATCCAGAAGCCTTTCTTGAGATGGCGAAATATGTTGAAGTACATAAATATATGTTTTTGAACCATCCTTTAAAATTATAAGTGACAACTAATTTTTATATTTTATTATTCTTGGGAGGCGATTGGGACAATCTGGATCCATCACTATGTAGTTGAAACAAACCTTTTTCTTGTGTAGCAATTCATGATTTTTATGAATCTTCATCATAGAGTTTTGTTAATAGGTAAGATAGGTAAGAGTTTTGTTAATTTAGATATTTGCATAGTTTAAGAAGAAGAAATAATACTGATGTATAGACCATATGAATGTGTAAAACGCAACATAGTAAAAATTTTCGTAAAGATTTGCATAAATTTTACTTTACTTTAGACTTAACAGAATAAATAATAAAGGGAACAAACCTCTGATCTAAGTTCAGTTCAATAAACTAATCACTAATCCATACAAATTTGCATTTGTGTAAAGTACCACAGTCTACTGAAGTATTATTACTTCAAAAACTGGCCACAATTTATTATTATGGAAAGTAACAAGTTATGCTTAATATTTGGTCATTCTATAGTAAACTATTTTTTCAAAGTCTGGACTGTGGTAATAAAAAATATGAAATGAATAATTGAATTTCTGATATCGTTCTGAAAATATAATATAAAGTACCTTTTTTACATCGTAACAACACATATTAAATTCGTTATACGAAATAACCACAATTTTAAAAAACATTTCCTCCCAGTACTCTACACGCTATATATTCTTTAGAAACATCAAAACTATAAAAAATATTAATTATCGAAAAAGTTAACAATTTTCTACTATCTTCCTCAAGGTTCGATTAAGATTCTATGGCAATTGTAGCGAGGGTAATGACGTGCCCAATACGATTATTCGTTGTGTAATTTATACAATGTAATTATGTTCGGAAACATGTTACAGCGAGACGGAGAAAAAATTCAGTATGACAGGAAAGTCGATTTGCGACTGTATCGTCGATCCCCGACGGGACGACAGATGGGCAGAAACGATCGAAAGACCGGTCAAACACCGTTTCTCTCCATATCCTGCTACTGGATTCCCTCGTGGGCATACGGCTGTGTGCGTGGACACACGCTGGCCAACGTGTGTGATCCAGTGACCCACTATGTTCACCGATGGCTACGCGAGCATATGACTGAAATTATGCGTTCTGCCATTCAGTCTTCCAAATCCGTACGGAAAACTTTTATACAGGCTTTACCTTCACCTTTCCTTCAGTCACTTGTGACGCAACCATTTCCGTCTTTCGAGATGCACAATATTCGAAGAACAGGTGATTTTCTTACTGTTTTTTTAACATTCTTGATAGGGTAAACGCACCAATGAACGAATGAGATTTTGTAACTATTAAAGTCGAATGTTAAATGATAACGATATTAGTAAATGTTTGACATATGAAAATTATACTTTTTTTAACCTTTTCATAACGTATAGATTTCAATTTGAACAGTTTGAAAAATGTGATTAATTAAAGTAAAAAGAAAAAAATATAGATCTCATCAGTGAATGAACAATATTAAAGAAATGAAGATTTCTAAACAATGCAATGGCGCGAGAATTGTTTGAATATTAAAGAAGGAATGGAAAAAATATCAATATTGAATTATTTGCTTATTTTAATAACTTAATTTACTTGTTTTTATATGTGTATAATGTTCATTCACTGGTACGTGTTCATTTAGTGGAGCATCCACCCTACGTACATAACTATTTTTCCTTTACTGTGTGACCATATTTTCAAATTGGTTCTATTTTACAACTCTAAAAAATATTGAATTTGTAGAAATCTGTTGTTTGACTGACATCGATTTATCGATATTTAAATATATTATTGTATAATCCTGGATAAAATATTATAGCTTCAGTTGGCACCTTGAAGTCTTAAACATTAAATATTAAATACTTCAAGTGTATTTCGTATTGTGGTTTACAGATAATAATATTTTATTTGTATATTTTGTATTACCACAAGGACAGTGTTTATTAGAAAAATTTTAATTTTTAATTAGATTTAATTGGGCAAGAGACAAAAGTGAAAAAAAATCTGTGGTTTATTAAAATATTTTATTGCTTACTGTTTGCATTATTAATTCTGTTTGCATTATACATTCTATGCTTTAAGTTGATGAAACATCGATGAATCGATGAAAAGATCTATTAAATATAATGGTAATAAATAACGAATTTGCATTAACAATAAACAAAGAAGATTTATTTATAAACATGGGAACCGAAGAATAACGTTACAATCATTCTTTAATATTCCGTTTGAATTTAAAAACAGAAGAACATCTGATCACGTAGAAAATTATAAATAGGTATTGTAAAATTCATAATCATGAATTCTAGAAAACATCGAAGAAGGAAGAAGAGTAAAAAGTAGTTAATTATATTTCTATGGCCTTTATCGTTAGATAAAAAAATCAACATCGATGTTTTGCAAAATTTCTCGCTTCTATGTACAAAATCAACGTTTTACACCTCCAACTCGTTGCGTTTAATCGCAACGATCACGACGAACAATCGACGCTGCGTTTTCGTTTTAATTGCTGGTAATGAGGCACGGTAATCGTAACTTAATATCAAAGTTACGCAGAAATCTTGTACAGCATGATTTGAACAATCGCCGTTATCACAAACAAAAACACAACAACTGGTGAATACTTTCTACACTACCTTGACTCTCGCGTAATTGTCCAACATTCCTCGGATCGTTTGCATACGGAACCGCTTTCTTTTCGTGAATAACTTTAAGAAGATTCATCCGTGAATAACGGATCCATCCGTGAAATCTCGTAGTCTTGTTTAGTCGACTAGGTGAACGTAAAAGTAGACAACTCGAAGCAGCACGCGCCTCTTATTATTACGTGTATACACGAGTTCTTCTTCGTTCTCGTTCACCGTGTTGCGAAATTCGACAATTCTAACGCAGCAAAATGACACGTCCCTTGTATTTTTCACCATGGTCGTTGAAACCACGATTTCTATATACGAACTGAAAGTACACATTGCGCCTTTTGAACACACTCGCGTAGGGGTCGATCCCGAAGGTATAGATCACTGTAACAGAGAATAGAAGTATCATGTAGATTCCATTTATAGTACAGTGGACTCTAACTATATTGCCACTAAACATATTGCCACACGAGGCACTTCCTCTTCACACGTACTTTCGGGCAAACAAATTCGCTCTCCCACCACTTTGCGCAGCAGCACGATCTAGCTTTTGCGCAGGCGCTGAGGCCGTGGCTATGACGATAGAACTGAACATGGAGGGGGTTCTGAACTCATTGCCATTTTACTCCCTTACAGACCATGGCAATATAGTTAGAGTCCACTGTATGTAAAATTTAAATTATATCGCATAGTTTGACAGAATAATCATAATCGAACTAGATAAAGCATACATAAACTAAAACTCCAAATATTCGATTTAAATATCCATGAAATCTAACGAATCAATAAATGCTTTTGTAAATTAAGCGAGGTGGCACACCTGCACCTAATTTAAAAGAACGACATGGGTTATTTTAAAGTTTATACAAACGATAGTGCATAAAAGAAGCACGATACCGGTGGTACCCAACTCAATATATCTAATGCTGATCATCTCAGACTTACAAACTCAACACAGCTCATTTCAAACTGAACATACTCGTCATGGGCCATCCCAAATTCTGTAGGCCTGACACAGACCACTTGATGATCTCTATGGTCTCAGGTATCTTCAAAATCAAAGGAATTCCAAAGGTTCTTAGGAATCTCAAGGTACGGCTTAAGTTCTAAGGTCTCGAATGTCTCAAGGGTTTCTGAGATTTCAAAGAACTTTAGGGTTAGAGGTGTCCAGGGGTCTCAAGGGTTTCAAGAGTCTCAGAGCTCTTGAGGGTTTCTAGGATCTCAGGTGTCTTCAGAGTCAGAGGGGTCTCAAAACTTCTGAGAGATCCCAAGGATTTCAAAGATCTCAAGGTCTGTAGGGTTTCAAGGATCTCCAAGGTTAGAGGTGTCCCAAAGGACTCGACGTTCTTATGAATCCCAAAATTTCCAAAGGTCTCAGAGGACCTCTACCATCTCCTCTAGCCTAGTATCAAACTGTTTGTATCCACAATGGCCTACATCAGGTCTCTCGGGACCGGGACAGTCGCCTTAACACTTTCAATTACCTGAGGTCAGTCTTTTAGATTACACCTGGGGTAGTCTCATATGTCGTAGAACATCATTAACGGATCTTCTTCTTTGAACGACATTCCGTCTCCTATATAAACCGTACATATCATAACCAGCAACCGGCTGATGTAATCCTGGACCTCGCCAATAAGGCGACATGTACGGATTATTCAGCAAGGGTATCTTCAAAGGCCCTTGCAACGCAGCCCCGCCGTAAGTGCTCGGTAGTGGGGAGAAACTTTGAAAGTTCGTGTGTGGTTGCAGTTTAGGCAGTTCGGGGTCACCACCGATCGACAAGCTCCCGTACACGGATAAATCGTTGCTCGAAGTGTCTGCAACTGGCAGACCCAAGGTTCCTTTGATAGGTAAGGTGTATCGAATGTGCACCGGTGGATATTCCACGCTTGGCTGAATCGATAACGGACTATGAACACCAGCCGGTGGACCTACACCCAATGGAGGATAAACTGGGTAATCTTGTCCTTTATTGTGATTGTCCAACGTATGCTGATGAGTCGGAACATCGTAGCTGGACGGATGATGATGAGTGTCCACACTATGACCACCTTGATTATGACTGTTCTCCGTGCTTCCCAATACGGTGTTTTCGACATCTTTTTCGTCCAATGGCGGTGGACCGTGGTAGTTATCCTCTGCATCCGTTGAAGGCGGCTTGTGAGAGTCCAAGTCCGTGGACTGGTCATCATGATCATCCGGTTTCGACGGTTTCGCAATCAGGAGGCCAGCTTGGTGATCGACTGTAAACGTGACGTCTGTCAGTCAGGTCTGAATTCCAATTACTCGTTTCGTGGAGTTGTTAAATTATATAGCAGTATATCTATGACGAGTTGTGTATGTATTTTTAAGTGTAGTGATGACACCCGAAATGATTATTGTGATTTGAGATTGTTATGGTGTCTTGACTGGATGTTGAAGTTGGTAGTTGAAAGTTGAAGAACGAGTAGGCGTTAAAAGTTGATAGTTGAGAGTTGAAGTACGAGTATGCGTTAAAAGTTGATAGTTGACAATATGCATAGATGGAATAGGTCGCATTACATGTCCTGTCATGTTTTATGCGGTATGAATTTTAGGTTACATGGTATAATCCACTTATATTTATTATTAGTTTTAGGTACCCTTAAGCGTTCTTTGGATATGAATTATTGTACAAACTTCTTACTTGAATGTTCTTGTTCGTGTCAGATTGATTAACAAGTGACCAATCTTTTATCATCAAAATCGATGACTGGGTCTATCGTGACCCGTAACAAGGTCTCACAGACATGCATACATACAAGACATATATGACAGTTCAGTGACTGCGTTCATAGGTAGGTATACAGACCCAAATGTTCATTCATTCATTATTTTATCATTTATCCTCCTCGATTCAAAAGTAACGTTTCCATAAGAAATTATTTACAAAGAACAAGGAAACAACTTCACTATGTCGTATTTTTCACACAGAACAAAATCAATTATGCAAACATACAATATACACTAGAATTACCATCGAACATAAATAACATATTAATATATGTATAAACTTTCTTTCACAGATTTTGATTAGTAACAGGAAAAAACAAAACATTTCACACGGGGGTCGTCAATCTGGCCAGAAAATCGATTCGGTGAAAGTACGTTACATAAAAATTGAACGATCTATGGGGAAGGTCAACAAGAAACGAAAGTGCACTGGGAAATACCCAAAAATTCGAGAATAACAAAGTGATCTCACGAAACAGAATGGACGTAGACAACAGAAACTGTGAATCACAGATAGGTCAGCTACACGCGTTTGTGATGAAATTTACAAAGGTAGAATGAGGTTCAAAATCACCGAATAATGATGGGCACAGGGATTTAGGATGCCATTACGGAATTCCGAGACCGTCACCACCGACCCTCCTCGATCACTCCCGACACACAGAGGAAAGTTCCGGAGATTAGAATCTCGTTTGAAAGCGAAGACCGCTCTTACTTTCTTTATTTCAAAACGTACAACAGACTCCTACAGGACGCCTCTCACCGTAATCCTTTTCCTTCATTTTATAGAAACAGACACGGACACACCTACGAGCGGCCGTTACACGCTTTAGGACCGTATTTAATTTCGCATGCAATCCACGTTAACGACATAATGGACACCGTGGAAATTAATTCCCGCGAATTAAGCCTTATTATGCAGTTTAGGAATGTTAGGTTTCGATAAAGCCACACGTTGTAACGATAGAAAGTCTTACCATCGGATGGCGAACCGTAGTTCGAATTTGCATGGTAACCGTCACTTGGCTCGGCGAATTCCTCGACGCCCGGTGGAGGTCCATCGTAGCCTTCCCCGTGACCTGCCGTTTAAAATTCGTTTAAAAATACTTACAAACTAGATGCAGCGATATTGTAATGTAAATAATTATTTCGAAATGCAGAAAACCCTTATATAAGCATTTACTCTCAGAATCAAATTATATATTTTTCAAGTCGGTCGTCATATCTTTTACATAAAATAGACTAAGATATATATATATATTTTTTTTTTAACACGAGATTTTTTGCTTCCATTCGGTACAAAATTCATGTAGAAACTTGACAGTTCAAGTTTTTACTATTTCAAAATTTGCTTCCGTATCCTTGACTTAAACAACGACCGAATTATTCAGAGTAAATTTCTCTTCGATTCTGGTTTTTGCAAAACCGCCCATAAAATTGTCAACTTACGTAAACGTCCGTTTTCTACTTATCAATAAATATTCGGACTGGTTTTTTTTAAAGATCTCATGCTTTTAATGATGCAATAATAATGTACGAAGTCTGATGTTTATGATGTTAAAAGCATAACAGCAGAAATTCAGGAAATTCTACATGTAGTTTGGAATTATGGCAGATACAGTAGTAACCTTACCGCTTTCAGACGACCATTTATTTCCCAGTAACCTAATTAGCCTTCAAAATTACCTAATATGAATTTACACCAGTTTTGTTAGTTTCACGACAGAAAATTTAAAACAATAATATACAGACCGGAATAAAGTCTACTTTTAATGATGTCAAAAACACAACTGCAGAAATTCTACATATAGTTTGTAATCACGTCAGGTATAATAGTAATCTTAATGCCTCCAAACGGCCATTTATTTTCCAATAATCTAATTAGTCCTTGAAATTATCTAATGGAATTTTACACCAGTTTTGTTAGTTTCACAACGTAAAAATTTAAAAAAGTAGCAATAAACAGATCGGAAATGAAGAAACATTTCTTAAACTTACCACCTTCATGATGATGATCGTAACCGTAATTATGATGCGGCGGTTCCGGAGGTTTAGCAGCACTCTTCGCGATTTTAGTACCCAAAGTCGTGATCGCGTCTCCGGAGGACGCAATCATTTTGCCCTTCGACGAAAGAAGGTAACCGCCTCCCTTGATAAGCTGACCTTTCAAAGCAATCACACCGCCACTTATGGCTTTTACCGCTTGCATTAACGTGCTAACGATCGCCTTTTTGAAGTCCCAAACGTCGAACGCCTTATCGCCGTACTATCATAGAAAAACTCCAATTAAACTACTAAAAGACAGACAGACACGCGCGTGAATCAATTGTTTTGCAATATAAATCGTTACTTTATTGAATACTTTTACGTGGCTTCATACAGCATAGTGGTTATTATAAAGAAAGCCTCTAATTCTAACAACAACGTGTGCTTAATCACCTTAGAAATAACGTGCAATTCATTTACCATCAATTACATAGCTGGCGTTCTAATTAACGGCGCTCGCGAAAATTGTTATATTATTACAGTCTTATGTTTCGAATTTCAGTCTTGTAATTCGATATTTCTGTTGTCCTTTGTACGGTCAACGCGATTTTAAAGAAGTAATAAAATTCGAATGAACATATTGATACGATCGTGCTTGACCGATTACGCATCGATTTCGATAAAATCTTGCAATTACACGAAGGGATTTCGTCAGTTTCGATAAAATCGCGTATTAATGAACCGAATAATGTTTATTTCAAAAAAAAATGTTTTCATCCACTGAACTCAAATTCGAATGCGTTTTAGGACTAAAAACACTTAATACACTTGTTTCTCAGTGGGGAAACAACGCGTCACTCGCGTTCGAAAACCGATTGAATAAGGGGCGATGACGAGAACCAGCTAAAGATTTCCCTCCATAATTGCAGCCTCGACGACCCAGATAATGATTTTCCTTCGTGCGGTAAATATCGAACTATCATTTCCACTACGATTCTACTACTCTATTCTAACGTTCTAAAAAGGAATACACTATATTTACGTATAATTTGATTTAAATTCATCCATTCGTTCGGACAGCCCTGATACCGACGCGTTCGTACGTTAATCGTGGGAATTCCTGTCAGCAATGATACAAAACCTTACAAAAATCTTATTCACATGCATTAAAACACCAACGGTTTTCGTCCCTTTTTTTATTCACAAAACGAGTCGACTTTCACTCGCACAAAAAAAAAAGATTATGTAAAAATTTCTACAGATAAAACGTATCCATTTTATTTTCGAACGGCACGAGGATCGCTCGTTTCCGTGTTCCTCGACACTTCCGTGGACATGTTAAGCAATCAACAGATTCCAAATTATGATCGACGTTAGAGAACGCAAAGCTTTTACATCCGCGACAAGAAGTTCCCCCTTGTATGAAATCGTCTCCCTTCCGTCTCGCTGGGCACAGTCTATCGCGTTGCTTAGAAAGTTTCGGTTCGATCAATGGTGCAGGGGAGACCGGGGCTCGTTGTTTCAATGCAGTTTCAAATTTTACAACTTGTGACGATACTTTGAAAATTAGACGGCTGATGTGCTTCAACCGTATACACAACTAATCGGTTCACGCGTTGCGACCTTATTGCAGGTTTCATGTTTTCGGGTACAAATAGTAATTTCTGCCTTTCAACTTCTACCTTTTCCATCGAACAATCAGATAAATGTAAGTTAATATTATCACGTTTGAATTAGGGTTCCTTTGGCTATAGCTGCTCGACATTTATTATACGATTTAGTCTAGCAATTTATATAAAATGGCGTCAACCGGAACTAGTTGTTGCACAAGAAAAAAGGCATTTTGTTACAATTTAATTAATTTCATAATTATGAATTAATGTATTAATTAATATTTTACAAGAAAACGGCGCGGATTTAGAGGAATGAAAATAAATAAATAATAATAAATAAATAATAAACCTCTTTTTCAGAATTTATCACTGTACCAACTTGCCTCTCAATGTCTAACGACTAAACAAATCACGGGCCATTTGTGTAACAAGTAGAATTCATGCGGGCCGCACAATATATATTTATATTATTTAGTTATTTCAATTTTTAAATTTCACAGTTTAGCCGAACAATCATAGTGGAGGTCCCGCAATATATTATATATTAGGTTGATGCAAAAGTTCGTCCAGTTGTTGGATCAGTTCTTTAACCAGAAACCTCAGAACTTCTATGAGCGCGGGATTATTCAGCTACCGCAGAGATGGAGAAAGGTCATCGAACAAAACGGCACATACTATATTGATTAAATGTAATTTTTAGTAAATAAAATTTTCCTTCAATTTTTGTCAAATCAGCCGAACTTTTGCATCAACCCAATACAAAGAAATTTAAAATTGCTCACACTTCGACAATATTTTCAATTCGTACAAAACGTCGTGGCCAGTCCAACACCCCTAGTATTAAACATGGAATACAAGAAAAAAAAAATAACCCAAAAAATGTAACAACTATCCCCGATCTCCCCTACACACTCAAATCGAGCGAACGCAGTTGTCGCGCGCAGCGCGCGTACGGTACGTCAAAACTTTCGAATAATTACATAGTTACCGAGTGCGGGGGTCCGTACTGCGACGGGGGTCCATAGTGCGGCGGGGGGCCGTAATGCCCGTATTCCGGATATTTCTGATCGCCCGAGGATGAGGCCGAGCTCGACGATGAACCCTGGGACGAGCTCGTCGCCGACATCGAGGACGAGCCCTTCGACGCGGTGCCCGATGCGCTGACGATACCGCCGATAATACCTTTCGCTATGCCTCCTATCAGACTCCCAGAACCTTTTATGATCCCTCCAGAATCCGAGCCAGATGGCGGTGGATGTCCGTCACCGTAATATTCGGCACCGCCACCGTACGGTACCGGCCCGTATCCACCGTATCCTTCTGGCGGATGATCACCTTCAGGCGAACCCTCGTACTCCGTGTAACCGTACCCGTCACGTTTCGTCCCGTGTCCACCTTTGGACCCGGACCTCTTTATCCTTTCCTGCATCAGCGCCATGTAGGTGGGATTGGAGAGCAACTCCATCACCACCTGGTTCCCTTTGGTAGCGATGTCCTTCTGTAGAGCCTCTGGCAGCATTCGATAGATCTCCAAGGCCATACGTCGCTCGTCCAGCGTCGACTTATCGGTGTCCTTCGACGATGTATCCAGCAACTGCCACTGATCGTCGGATGGAATCGGGTCGGATGACGTTCTCCGATATGGCGCCAATCGCTCCAGCTGCGCAGACGCCCGTGCCAGTAGATCTTGCTCGCTCGAGTCCGTGCTCTCCGATGGGACGATGAGGAGGATCGAGCAACAGGCGAACGCGAACGCTTGCGGGAACTGAAATTGATTGAGATATACTTGAATGGAGATTTTTTTGGAAGTATTAGGACAGCTGCTGTGTTTGTAGACAATGCGATGTTCGTTACGGATTGAAGCTTTGTTCACTGAGTTTATTTTTCTGGTTTTAATTACAGTATATGTGTAATTGTAGTGTTTGTCATGTATATGACTGATTTGTGAATTTGTTGAGTTGAACATTATGCACTGGCTACTAGAGTCCATCGATATCTAACTTATAGAGGTCATTCCACGCGAAATTTTATATTTTTTGGAGTAACATTTCGGATTTTGTTGACACTTGGATATATTGTAGTCTTTAGCCCACATTTTTTGAAAATAAACTTTTTTATTTCGTACTCTTTAGTGTAGGGGGCAATACTAGTGGGCCAATGGGACAACATAAAATGGTTTTCATTATCATTAGTCAGGCAGTAACCTTAAAGAAAAAATCAAGAAAAATAGTTTACAATGATCCTCTACAAGATTCAAAAGGTTTCATCTCGATTGGTCCATTCGCTGAACATACATACAAACAAAAACATACATACACATCGAATTGTGTACCTCCCCTTTTTCAAAGTCGGTTAAAAAATCGAACCTACGCATACTACGCAATGAGGAAGTATGTAACTAGGGAAATATGGCCTTCTTAAGAGCAATTTCTCCAGTTTGGAAATATTTCCTTAGAAATACGAAGTTACGTGAAGTATGCACAATACTTTCGAAATGTTCTCGCCTGAAACAAGGAAACTTCGTGTTAAGCGTAATGTCCTAATTTGAAATGTTTCTCTCGTCCACCATAATACTCCTATTCTTTTCCAAAATATCATGTGGAACAACAATTTCTTTTTGCATAACGTGTTCTATCCTCGTTAAGTGATTATCGAGGTGAACTCGATCGTTAAGCTTCTTCGCGTAGCAATTTCGTGGTTCTTAAGAGAACTTCATTGGCCGGTAATTACACGACAATGAACGATACGAGGTATTTGCCGACGGCAAATTAGGGACGAAACAAAATGTTGTAACATATACGTGAATTTATAAATCAGTCAGCCGTGGACGGTAAGGAGCGTGAGTGCAGCAAGTGGAGCGGTTCTTGGTGAAAGTCACACGAGGACGCGACGCTGGTAGGGTTCCGCTTTAGAAGATGTCCATGTGTGTGACCGCAACAAACGGCGATCTTGACAGAAAATTGCCGGTTTCACGAGTTTATATCGAACGAAAAAGAAAAGAAGAAATTGACGGCGACAAAACGAAGAAAACAAACATTTTCGTCTACTGAAAGTTGACGACAATTTCCATTGTGTTTGTAGAACGGGATTCGATGCTCTTGAAGTTTCATCGCGACATATTTTTTTAGCCTAAACAGTAAATATTAGAATAATACATAGATTTTATACGGAAATATGGCTTTTATTTTAAAGGATTATTCAGGTAAAAAAATATTAACCAAGTATGGCAACCAGTGGTTATATGTAACTTTAAAGGAATTATGATATTTTTGTGTGAATACAAGATTTTTGATAGGTTCTAAGAGATTAACACTCTTGGTTTAATTACAATTGTAAATGATAGTGAATTCTTCATAATAGATGGTGGTAGATATTTCAAAAAGTCGCAATTAAATATACAGTCTTGGCTGAAAGTATTAGGCACCTTTATTATTACAGCTTGCTGCATCAAATATTTTTTTGAACCCTTTCTATTGTTCATTATCCTTTGTCGGACTGTTCAAAATAATTTTAAAACAGTTGACAAGGTTTATAGTGAACCATAAAGCAACTGAGCGGTCCAGAGTCTACATTTTGTGTTTTCCAAAAATTACAGTCTGCTTCAGTACTCGCTGCTAATGCACATCAACTTGTTTTTGGTTTTGCTGTTAATGTTTTAAAAATTATAAAGTTTTCTTGAAATATGCCAAAAATGAATGAACTGAGTGACCATCAATGCAAAATAATTCTTTTTCTAAAAAAACAAAGTTGAACTCGGAAAGAAATTGCTTGATTGTCAGTCATTACGACAAAGAATAGCCCAAAAAAACATTAACAAAATTAATAAAAAAACAACCTTTTACATTTCAATAGTTTGATATCCTCCTACTACAACAATATTTTTAAAAAATTCATATTTTACAGGGTGCCTAATACTTTAAGCCAAGACTGCACTTCTCGTTTTCTTTCCATCGTATTAATTCCCGCTCCTCAGACGATAAATGCAAATGACACATCTTCCACGGAGTCATTTAAGTAGAAATCTAGATCAATCTGAATTTCCGTGCGAGCAATCCGTTCGACCGAGAAGACGATCAAATAAAACGATTTTACACTCATTTACAGAAGTGAAAATGCTCCGCGAACGATTTACTCTCGATTCTTCGATGAATAAATAATAAAACCTTTTGAATAGTGCCCCACTATTACAAACCTGCACTTCTTTAAAACATTTGTAAAATTAATAGTTAAAAAATATTCTGTTTGAAATAATTTTCATTAAAAAAAATTGTTTACTCTCGATTCCTCGATGAATAAATAAAAAAAACCCATTGCGATTTCTTTCTACAAATTACTCGATTATCCTGCACCAGTGAAGATGACTGAAATTTCCATTCGCGTATACGAATGCAGATACAATCCAAACGTTCGATGTTAACGTCCTGCGTATTGCACTCATGAGTAATGGCCGTTCTACGATGGTAATAACGAAACCGAAAGCACTGGGAGCCGCAAACGCAATTAAAACTCGAAGTCGTCGAGATGGTGGTCGGTCAGGCGAAGCCAGAAGCATCAGCCAGACCGTCAGTTCTGATTATTTCCGTGTTTTCGGTTAACCACTACGAAGGGAAGGGAATTTCCTCGATTCGACGAAAGTGATCAACGCGTCCTTGGTCTCTTGCACTTGGTCGAGTCAACGTTCGACCCAGTTAGCAATACCACCACGGACATGACGATGCATTCAGACGTGCCACGATCGCCACGATTTCTAAAAAACGTCGAACAAACCGTGTAGAAACACCACCCCAAGCTATGAACCCGATCCGTTGCGATGGTTTCGAAAGGAACGCGTCCAGCCCGGTGAAAGAACGCCGTCGGTAATAAAAATCACTTCCGGTTGTCGGAATGGTCCAAATTAATGAAAGGCAGGGGCCCTCCATTTCGTCGACGGCTCAACTTTCTTTGCATACCGGGGGAAGGTTAACTTTCGTTGAGATTCGTTGGAACTTTTGACGTTCACCCATCGTTTAAATTTATTCAGATTAATACGGACTTTTACGAAAATTGTTATTTACCCAGCCGGTGAACTTATGAATGCATTCGGATGAAGAGTACGTTTATTTGTGCAACGACCTTTTTGTGATTTGGTGATGTATATATCCTCGAATTAATTGTTTCTGTTGAAATGATCCGTTATTTTTTTCTCACGAGTGGTCATTCGATGGGTATAAATGTAGTGATTTAAAAATGGAGCATATTCGATCGATATTAGGTGATGAAGCTAAAAAAATGAAGCGTGCATTGACGAAGTGATTAGAAACACTCGATGTGAAAATTCTATTGCTCGATTGTGTTATCACTTGGTCTGCTTGTCGAGTGAAAATTATATAATCGATCAAATGTTAATTAATTTGTACTTACAAATTAGTTAGTATTATCCTTTTTTAATATATAGATGCGTAAAAACAAAGTACAATGAAATATTATTTACATATATTTATAAAGGATTCACGTATTGATAATAAAACAGTTTTAACGCGAATTACTTTAACTTTCCATTAAATCAATATCCAAAAATTCACTCCTGCCGTTGCAGATATCAAAAGTCAAGGTAAGAAACAATGAAATATTTCTCCAATAAATTGTTGCATAATTTTCTAATCGCAAGAATGTGTAAATATTCATTAATGACAGATAAGGAATTCCACGCAAGCAGAACAGATAATAACAACGAAGACCTCAGAGACACCAGACTCCATTGATGATTTCAATGACTCTATAAAACAAAGCATAATTTGCATCGGGCGAATGACCGTCACTGACAATGATCCACGCTTGCACTTTTACATTCCCAGAGGTGCGAAGACCAAGCAAAGTCAGAGTGCAAATTTCACCATTGTCGTATGTAAAGAGGCGCGAACGATTACGAACGGACGTGTTTTACTTTCACATGAGATGTCGAGGTCAATGATTCTCGGTTAAAACCACAAGAAACGAATCACAAAAGAAAAGTGAAAGAAAATTCCTGCCGAATCTAACATTAAAATCTCGCGAGATTACTTTTTGTCACACGAAGAAATTCATGGAGCATCGAATGACGGCGATCGAGAATTTAAAAATCGCTGGACCAATGGCGAAGAATAAAATTTCGCGGGGAAAATTGACACTTCACACATGAAACGGAAGGAATTCAGCCGCACAATGATCTTGGATACGCGTACCTTCATCGTTGACTTTCACGGTAGATCGGTAAAAGGATCACGGCACTCTCACTGAACTCACTGGCCATCGCCATCGAGTATTTCCTCTCTTTATACCGACTCCCACCTTTTTACAGGCACAGGAGAACGTTGCTCGTCGGGTTATAGGATACTTTGCTTCCAAAATTCGAATGTTATCTCGATGATTTCGGATGATTTAAATGCGTAATAATTCGACCGGAATTGTGGTTCGAGATTTCAGCGAAAGTTTTTATGTACGACGGGATGGAAATTGGGTTACGTTCGCCATATTTGGTATGATCTCAGATGCTGTCGTTGTTGTTACTGTAATAGTACAACGGATTTTAGAGCGTTCAGTAGTGGAAGTAATTTCTTGCATAAGTTTAAAATTTACGAGCACGCACAATTCTTATAGGAATATGATCGATAAAATGATTCGTATCGAATTTATTTTGCCCAAGATAGGGTAAATGTCACAATTACTGCCATTGTTAAGGTATACATAATTTATATTCATTTTTAAGGTGACAGTTATAGGGTCACTGCGATTGCTCGCAGATTTTAGTTAATTATTAATTAATTCTTCATATTTAATGCATGAAACTATTTTTTTTAATGGAAGAGGTGTTAAATAATATTATGTTCCAAACTGAGACGATTTTTAGATTAAACAACACGTGAAATAATTAAATGAAGTTACGGTACAATCTTAAGGTGACAGTAATTGGGACATCTACCCTAGTGAGGTAAAATACTTCTGCAATAAATATCTGTTTCAATTAATTTTCCTAGTGTTTAGTGTTTAATATTCTAGTGTTGCATTAAATAATATTTCCAATACTGTACATGATTACTATCGATCACCTATAACTTATTATAATATAATGTTTAATAAATAGAAGAAAATGCATTAAACGAATTTCCCCATTCCAATTTTTGTAAAGTAATCCATACAAATTTTAATATTCATAGACATTCATGTTTCAGTTAATAATATTTAGACTATGGATTTTTATGGAAATTGTAGTGAAAACGTGAGCAAAGGACGTGTCATCTCCACGTTTGAAAATGAATCTGCCGATTCAAAATCGCCAACTAAGGTGATATTTAATAGTTCTTAATCGTTTTTGTCGCTGAATCGTTTAATTCTGTTTCTAGTCTAACGCGTCCGATCTTGAAAAATTGCCAATCGTGTCATCGACTTGCTTTCTTCTATTGCACCCGAACGTCGATGAGCGTAACGGGACCAATATGGCCGACAGAACGTGCGCAAGCAGGTGTACAAATAGATTCGTACCGCGAAAGAAAAGAAGGAAGAAGACGCTTCCTTTTTGTCGAACTTTTTAAGTCGGAGCACGCTAATGAAAGCGACCCGGTGAAATGCAGACACATCCATCGGAATAACGAATGGCCGGTTTTGCTTAATTCTCGATCATTTTCATATTTTCCCCGTTCTCGCTTCGCTGTACATGAACAGCATGACCAATCATCTTCTCGATGACATAACTCTAGTTAAATTCCCAACTATGTAGTTAATCTTCACTGAAAACTGAAACCGAGAACAATCAATTACACTACTTGATACGTCAACGCTTTTTAATTTTGTAAATCTTACGTAAGTAACAGAGAAATGGATAAGGTATGAAAAATGCAAAATTTAAAGGTTCTAAAGGAGTATCTGAGGATTTGTGGTCCCAAATTGTTCCATACTTGTGTAATTAAATAATCATTTAAGAATCATGTGTACAAACCGGTTAAATTAATTATTCAATTTAAATGAAATGATTAAAGGTAGAAAGTTCTCTTATTTGAATTTCCACATTCAAGATGGCCGTTCCATGCGCACGAACCCAATTCTTTTGTATAATCTATCAGACAAATTTTAGGCACCAGAAGGAACAGAGATTAGGTATACAATTGTGTACAAACAATTTAGAAGAAAAATATCGTTTGAAGTTTTAAAAACTAAAAAGATATCGTTTCAAGCTTTAAAAACGAAATAAAAAATGTTGAAATTTTCCTTTCCATATAGAGTGAATAGAAAGCAAGTGAATCAGGCGAATTCTGTTATTATCCTTATCCGGTTCCACATGTTCACAACGAATGAATGCTTCTGTGTCTACGCAGCATAGATGTCACATTTCATGTCCTACGAGGTAGTAAGATGATTATACCGAACGATACAACCTATTATACGTAATACGTTCTCACGAATTCGATGCTCGTTTCCTAACTGTCCTCCATGTTCAATTCCGCAATTGTTCCGTATTCTATTGCACTGGTAATTTCTGTCATTACCTTTATGTAAGGCTTAACGAGAATTTATTCAACCAACAAGATTTAATTTTGTAGCTTACATCTAAAGAATATTATGAGGTATACATAAGAATACGCACTTTTTCTTGGTTCTTGATTAGTTTTCAATTTTTCAGTACAAATCGTCAAAAGCATGAAGCTAGATAGGTAGCCAATGACATTTAGTCCATAGTCCTTTATATCATGTTAAAGACAAATTCACAAAAATTATATCTAATTTTAATAAACAATCAATTGTCAGCAGATTTGTTGTACAAAGAAGAAGATAGTTTATATATAAAACGTTCTATATACAAATAATAATCATATATTTCATTATATCCAGATAGCACATGACGCCTTAAAGACGCACATTTTACAGCTATTTTAGGTCTGAGGCGTCGTTAAGCCGTCATTAAGCCGTCTTAAGCTGTATTGTGCGCTATCTGGGTAAATTTCGAATGTTTATATAAATCTAGACTCTTATAGACTAATTTACAGAAACCGGAATTAAACAGAAAAGTGTCTTCCTTGTTGAAGGAGGTTATTCAAATAAATCATCAGTACCTATAGTAGATGCATTCGATGGATAAGTAGCAACTACGAATTCAGACGCTGTTTAGCTAGATGCAGCTTCGAAGTCGCAGCGTCTCGGCCTCGTGTCGTTATTAATCTAACAAACGTAGTATACAGTGACAGGAAATGAACGGTTTCAGAGCGAGAGAAATCGTTATACAGTGATGGGACGCTGCAACTTAAAGCCGAATCGAGGAAGAATAAGAAGGCATGTGAAAGGCGTATAGCTTTAGAACGAACGTCTACCGTCGATAAAAATAAACGTTTCAGTGAAAACTGCAACCGTTCCTTCCTGAGCTTCGATCAAGTTGAAAGTAGCATACGGCAAAAACTGCATTTATCGGTGCAGAGAACTATTATATACATAGACGCATATAGTTTGTGCTCCCGCAGGGATAAAATGGCGTCATTACTGTAGCGTATCTACGTCCAACAGGAACAGAATAAATTTATCTCTATCAGATTCTTTTTACATACAAAATTGCATTTACCATTAGAAATTATATTGAAAAATATATGTAATAAATAAACCATAGATCAGTGATCGATATATTTTATTTCACATTTAGGGATCTGTTACGTTTATTTTATCCTCGCGTATCTGATCATGTAACAATGAAGCAGAGGACTGAAACTGGATCAATAGGAATACGGGTCAAAAGTGACCCCATCACCAACTACACGAGGGTAAAGTATAATAATATGTTTGATATTAAAACACAAAGTATATGTAAGTTTAATCCTCGGATGATGAACGTGGGTCACTCGTCACCCAGATTTTTAAAACATTTGATGAAGTGTCAATTAGGAATTTGGGTATGGGTCAGGAATGACCCGGTCCCGTCTTCCACGGGGCCGTCTTCCTAGGATTAAGAAAATATTTTTTATTTACGTAACGCATATACATCAACATTAATTTTAATAATACGTTGAGGTTTTACTTAATCGTCGGCGTGAGATGCTTTTAAGAATCTATCACCTTGAAATTCGACATGACAGCAACAGCTGACCGGAAATCGAAAGGATTCATGATTGATCGAGCCATCTGGGAACACCGCTAGAAGTTGACGATATATGTACTTCTGTCTGCACTTTGACACGTAACCCTCGGCGAAGCCTTCGATAATTCTGCACGGCTTGTCTTCCTCCCTGAAAGGGTGCAAAGATCGTTGTGACTTTGCTCGGACCACGATAGAACAGGAAGTATAGTAATCACGAGTCATGGGATCAAGTTAAAGAAAGGTATCAACTTTCACGAGGTTTATCACTCTGGTTACAAACTTATTATTAACTTCCGACGGTACGTAAAAAATTATTAACTTTCGATAGTATATAAAACAACTACAATTTTAATAGATCCACATTTTCAATCATTACAAATACAATTTATTTGAAAATAAAAAAGGAAATCTAATAACTTTCGTTAGAAACGACCGATTTCATGAAACATTTTAGAATTTTGAAAAAAATCTGTTTTAATACGTACGAAAATTTTTAAGAAGTTAAACAATGAATAAAACCTAATTGTTGCTGTTAAAATGTTCGGTTAACGAGTATGTATGTTTAAGAGCATTTTATGTCTAGATTTATTTTGTAATATCGAACATGAGTGTGTAGATTCTTTATTACCAAGATTGAACTTACATGCACGTTTCAATACGCACCGCCTGTGTCAAGTTCTTGTGGTTCACGATGTACATCCATTTGTTGCGTTTAGTAAGGCCTGATTTAGGAAATACAATTAGTTCCTGAAAAAAGAAAAAACGTACTGTGTACTAAAAAATTCTGTATTAGTAATCAATTCTTACGTTTACAAAACAGATATTTTTATTTTATGATTAAGTTACCGTAGATACACAGAGTGGTTCTTCTTCGGGCTCGTCTTCGTGTCGCCCAGATGTATCCAGCTATTAAATGAAAATAATAATATCTCAAAAGTATCATCTGACACAACTACAAATCGAAAAGTGTGTTTTACCATTTCGAAAGTTAAGGTTACGTTTCATTCGAAAATCTAAGGTCCAACTTCCGGGACGCGTAATATAAACCCAAATCGACTCCACTTTACAAAATTATACTTTTTCATTTGTATATAATATTCCATGCTTTTACAATATCCTGTACACACATTTCATAGCTAGAAGGTTGGTTATAATAAAATTTTATTGAAGCAGTAACAAGTTGGAAAGTGGTTAAATATTCATAAAGCTTTGCAATTCTATTAACATACAACACGTGAACGTGCATCAGTCGATACACGGATTTCACCGGAAGTGCTGTTTGTTTCAAATTTTAAAAAGTGTTCGCTTGGCATTCCACGTAAATACAGAATGAAAATGGTTAAAAATACATCGAGATATTTTGTACAATCGTGAACTTCGTATGTTGTATGCTATTACAAAGTATGTTACTGTTGTGTTTTGTAAGTGTAATAATTAAAAACATATACCTACCTCATCGGCACGCCCATGCAAATTAAGACGAGAATTGTTCTGCAACGCGTCGTTTACTAATTCTGTTGGATATTCCGGAATAACCTCGCAAAATGTTTTGTGCTCGCAGACTGGAACTATGCTAACAACAAAAAAGTGTATACAATAATACTGTTTTAACCCAGAATTTAGAGCCTTTCGATCTTAAATTATATTTTCTATCGTCGCAATCTGTAAATTAATTGGACTTCAGTAGTTTGCACATATATGTATATGTTTCACGATCTTGCGACGAGTAAATATACATATTATAATAACTCGGGGAACTGTAAATTAGTAAAAAAAAAGGTTTAGTGAAAATTATACGAGGTTTAAGAACTCGAAAGAGATGAGAATTTCTTCGACAAAAGATTAAATTTCTAGGAATTAGTGGTTTGAAGATCATTATTGAGTAATACAATTGTAAAAAGGTATTATTTTTTTATAGCACCTTTACGTGATGCCTCGAGAGACTTCGGACCAATTGCCGATTGCTGATGATACCCCCATGCCTCGTATATAAGCTGTAAAAATTACACTACATGAAGTAAAAAATTGATGATATTACATGAATGTAAAAATGTCCGCTTTTTCGTTGAAAATTTATAATATTTTAAACTCATTTTTTTAAATTTTTTACAGATTTTATGGCAAAATTTGAATACTCTGACAATTAAATAAAATAAAACCACATCAATCTAATAAACGACGGTCGTTACTTTTGCATACACTTAATATTATAATAGTTACGATCGTATAAAACAGGTGTTTTAGTGTTGTGTGGTTTTTCTTTCTTAGTCCTCCATTTGGTTTTGGGTGTCCTCTTCATCGTTCCAGAAGAATTTTATTATACATGAAATAAATAATAATCCCAAATAATTGGAATAAGAATCACTGAACTGACGCAACACTAACACCATCTTTCTTTATTTGTTGCATATAAACGTAATTATTTATAATTTCACATAAGGAAAACATCGTGGAACACACGTCGATTGTCAACAGTAGCTGTTCACGTTTGAATGTTTCTTGATTAATAAGGCCATTGATGATGATAATATTAACTTCTGATTCCGATAGAAATCGAAATGATAAAAGTCGTCCTCTAATCTTATCTATGTATTTCATAAATACCTAGTTCATTACACGTATATGTCTATAAAAATACGTATGTGTCATTTAATTACACAATGTATAAAATTCAACAATTTTTAATCGAGTCACGGTTCTGAAATTTTCTAATTACATCGTATAATTTAGACCGAAATATTAGTTACATGAAAAATTACAGAAATACACATAAACATAAGATAACAGTGATAATAAGACAATGTTTCGGTTGAAGTAAATTTACAATCTCACCAATAACAACATTCCTTTCGGCATCGCCATCGCACTTTTCCTTCGGATCATAACACTTGCAGACAGTGCAAAATTCGTCTTTGTTGCTAATTTCTTAAACAAACGATTTATTTAAACCGCGAATAATTTTAGTACTATTATGAAAATGTAGAAAACTTATTCCTGTTTGTTTCGATGTGTTCGCTTACGAGTATGCTTATGATGGAATACACGCGTGGTAACAAGTAGACTGCTTAAATTCGCTCCTGACGATACGATTCGGTTAAATTTTAGGGAAACAAAGTTATTGAGCCACTTTCGTGGCTTTTTGACGACTGATCTCGTAGCTTTATATCAACATCCACGGGGGAAATGAGATTACACTAATACACAGTCATTTGCTACTACCATTTTGTATGCGAAATGCGCACTTTCCAATATTTCGTTAATTAATTTCGCCTAGTTGGTTTTATTTCATTCACTTTTACACTCGACGGAAGAATTTACGAAGGATAAATAAATTAAGGGTACAGAATTTAAAAATTTTAAAACGACTAAACGATATATAAATATATTCTCAATTTCTTTAGAACAATTGTCAAGATTTGTTATTTCACACAAGTATATTTGCTTGATAACAGATTGAAGAACAGCTATTTTTAGAATTTAAATTTTACCATTTTATTGAATACAAATTTTTTAATGCATGCTATAATTTGTTTCTTAATTAAATTTTTATAGAAAGAACAATTGTTAAATAAATATAATTTGCAAATTGTACTTATAAAATATACATATATTTAAGAAACACAGGTATTATTTATACACACCTTACCTTCCGAACAGAATATTTCACTTAATTTTCATTAATATAAATTTTGTTATAACGTTGAAGTTAATTAAAATGGTTAATTATTGTGTTACAAATATTTTATACGTATATATTTTCCATGACAGTATCGATTAATGTAATAACATCTAAAAGCAATGAAATTAATTTTGAATTTTTAAATGTAACTAGATAATCAGTGTAATGTAGGGATAAAGTGTTTATACCTCTTCAAATTTCCCTATCTGACCAAGGTTACGAGCACTAGGCTGAAGTAAACCGCAGTTACGAGCAGTTACGACGAGCGTCGAATTGCTTCAGCTCGGTCGATTTCGCATTGCGTCCAAAGAAAATCAGAAAAATGTCGAAGAGGAATCCTGGGGACGAATATAGAAAAGGTTTTATTCATTTTATTTATTATCGTATCACTTGCATTAGGTAAAATAACATTCACGTTCTGCCTTGTTACAGTTGTACAGTCCTTTCTTCTCGATTTGTTTTCGTTATTGATTTCATGCCGTACACTCTTTGCCGTGAAGAAGATTAATTTTAAACACGTAACACACTGCACCGATGTAACATAACACAGTTTTAGGAGAAATAATGCAAACTTAAATTTTCTTTTATTATCAAAAAACTGCTTCGTACTTTTCATGTACCGTTTTTCGGGTGCACGCACCCAACAACCATGTGCCAAAGGATGCATCATCTTAGTAAAAACGGAGTGAATATTAACCTTATGTAATAAATCAAATCAATATATATTTATATATACTGTATACAATATCATTCTGTGTGACTTTAGAACATTTATACTATACACAAACTTATTGCTAGTCAACTTGTTCACTGTATTCATTTCAAATTTAATTTAGATGGCTAGGTCTAAATGGAACTTCTACTAAGCATGCCGCTTAAATATTTCCGGTTAAAGAAACAATGTTGTTTAACTTGATCTGAACTTTGCCAGTGTTTGACGTTGTCAGGGTCAAGTGTCTACAGAGCAGAGGACTCCAGGGGGGATGACAGAGGAAGGGACCGCTCTCCACTTAGATCAGACGACCGTAATGCCACCAACTACAGTCAGAGCGATGCAAAGAAACAAAAGCTGACATTTGGGTTCGGGAAAAAAAGTGCGATGGACCAAAAGAAGGGTATTCAGATAAAACTAGGCTCAACATCGGTGAGTGAATATTGTACAAATGAAGATTTCACATATACACCAGTTCTAAAATTATTTACAAAACTTATTCTCCAGAAACCCACAGTAAAAGCAGCACCTGTACAGAGGCCAACAGTAGCATCAGTGTTTAATGCAGATGAAGATGATGAACCTGAAGAAATGCCAGCAGAGGCCAGAATGAGGATGCGAAATATTGGAAGAGAGACACCAACGTCAGCAGGACCAAATTCGTTTGGTAAAACAAAGCAAGGGTTTTGTGACTCTAAGAAAATATTTGAGAAAACGCTGAAGAAAGCAATGGAGGAAGCAAATAAATGATTTCTTCTCTAATATATCTTGCAATTATTGTGAATTGTATATTAATTTTACATGAAATGCAACAATTACTAGCGAGATTCTTGCTACAGTTACATGCAAAATATTTTTATGAATTTTGCGCATTTTATCGGCAGAAATTACGTACGAAGTCTTACTTCCAGGTTTTCCATATCTTGAAACTTAATTAAATATTAGCTGTATGTTAGCAATGGCTAACATTAATCATGCACTTGAAATGTAACATTTCACTATGTAAATCGTAAACGAGTATACATATGTAATAAAATTATACCATGTACTTTTTATGTACTATGTTCATTTCCATCATGTTCATTTCAAGTTATGTGATAATTGATGAGAAAAAGAGTGACTTCTTTAAAATGGATAGAAAATAAAATAATTTATCAGGTAATTTGTAGAGAAATATAATACAAATAAAAAAGAACTCTAATTGATTTTATATTTATTTTTATTTAAAATTTACATAGCACAATTATTTCCTGTTTTGTTGTCCCTGACGAAGATCCTAAAAAAGAAAACAAATATAAGACAATAATAACGATTGATTATTGTATTAGGTGGTAACAATTTTTAGATCTAAATGTTTCCATAATTACCCTTGGGAAATTGCGGACTGGTGGAGTTCTAATGCGACGGTTTGCTTTAGACCTGTTACGAACCACTTTAGAGTGGATGGCACAAGAAACACAGTAGTGCAACTTGGCGTACAATTTTGGAAGCTGGTATGCAGAATAAAAGCTAGCTTCAGTTATGTCTCTTACAGCAGCCGCTTCTACGATGTTACGAATAACAAACTTCTTGATTGCTTTGTCTTTCGGTACACATCGTGCACAATTAGTACAGCGAACTGGATTTACATGGCCACGACCATGCTTAGCACGTCCACCATTTCTGCGTTTGCAAGTCTGCGGATAAAGAAAAAATAAATTAATATAAATTCTCCATAAACTGTCAAATTTTATTCAACTAATACAACTATTAATTACTTAGTAACATTAAACAGTTTCGAAAATACTTATTAAAACATTAAATATCATGTACACGAAGGTTAAGTTCATTAATTCAATAAAATTTAAGATCACATATGAAAAAGGAACTAGCGCACTTAATATTTCGTACATATTTAATTATAAATTTTAACAGACGATAAATTATTATTTAAAAGAAATTGTATTTTGTATAGACATTATGACAACCACATGGCACATCATTCAATAATTTAGTATTTCGCAAACACATCATACGCAATACTAAGTACACCTTCCAAAACTAATATTCGTATTAGATACACCAACAAGTCACCATCATAAAGCTACAATATCCAGTATATACTAAACTAATGCAATTATAGACGATAAATAAAAGCCAGTTACCATTTTGTTTCGCTAGCTACAGAAGAAAGGTCGGAAACAGCGTTCAGTAGCAACACTATGTAGAGTGCGTGAGTCAAATCAATGTATTTCCGTTTACATAAAATCATTCGTTTTTAATCATAGAACGTACATTGTGTAGTACATTTTAAATATATTATAACTAATTTTCTACATCGAGTATTTGTATTATATGTAAGTAATGTCAAAATTTTCCATTTTTCGAAGCTCCTTAAATTGATTGTCTACATTTGGGGGTATGTCAAAAAAAAAATTATATATGTACACCGACGAGCAAACTCGGCTTCCGCTAGAAGAAAAACTAGCGTTGGAAAAGGGTCTCCCAAAATTTGGTATCGAGATTTATTGCAATTTATGCCAAATTAAGGTAAGTGTCCTTTGTAATCGGCGTCAAACTTATGAAACCTTTATGAAGCTTTGAAGACGGTACGGAAGATTTGCAAGTTACAGAGGAGGGAATTATTTGCGGCATATAAGTTACAATATTTTATAAGCCTGAATAATATCTAAGCCTACTTTTTCTGAATTTATATAAATATCATTACAAGTATATTGTAAAATCATAAAGATAAGTAGGATTTAAGTAAAATAAGTATCTAAGGGCACTTTTATTGAATCTATACAAATATTATTATAAATATATTGTAAAATCATGTATCTAAGTAGTACTTAAGGCAATTGTTGTTAAATTTAAAGAAATACTATTGTAAATTGTATATTTTCGTACGCTTTTTTCAATAAAAAACAGTCAAATCATACATATGCGTTATTCATTAATCCCGGCACTATCTCCACTCCGATTCCTAATATCAATTAACCAAAAAAGTAATAAGAAATAATAAATAATAACAAAATAATTAATTCTAAAACTTTCAAGTTTTGGAAGAAGTTCTGGAATTAATTCCAATTTACCGAATTTCCATATTACCGAAGATAATACCGAGCTAATGGCTTGCGAACTTAGAATTCATTTTTCTAGTTGTAAGAATGAATATAAGATCGAATATTTTTGGTGAATGTTCGAAAATCTATATTTTGTAGAAGAAACTTTAAGAACTGTGACTATATTCGGTTCAGATTTTTAACCGACGGACCTTGATGTTTAGTTTTCGAAATATAAATACCTATCTTCCTGTTTAGTCCCAGATCCTTAGAAACAACTATTTATAACTTTCATTAATTTGTGATACTTGCACCTTTTTTACTTAATCTTGATAGTTATTTGGATGAAGATATATTATTGGGCATCGTGCACTACATGAAAATATTTTTAAAATTCGTCTTTGTTGTATCCAGTACTAGTACAATTAGTGATTCTAAATTTTTAGTATCTAAAGGGTGAATACACGATAAAAGAGGAAGTGTGATAAATGTTAATGTACATTATTATTGTTATTATTATTATTATTTCGATCATAGTACAAAGTTTGTGAACACGAAAACAAATCCGAAAAGGTTACTCTATATGTATGAAACTGCTTTCAGCAGTATATTAATTTTAAAACAAGTTTATGTTTCTTTTTACAATCATCTGTATGTAGAGTGACAATTTTATATTCAAAAAAGCAGATTTTGTGTTTTCTTCTGTATTAATCCACTGACATATCAAGACGCGACTATTTTTATCATTTTTAGATGTTATTTATTTATTTATTAGTTCCATGTAACAGTTATTAGAACGTTTTACTTTTTCCAAATAATAGTGAGCCGATGAGTTAATTAACATACAGAAGTACAAATTACAGATAAATCAGTAAAAGTATATAGAACCTAATATTAAAGAGTAAGAATGTCAGAAGCTCTAGATTCCAATAGTCGCTCCATTGAGCTAACATCTTTACACCATCCATCAAGTCTCTGAACCATTCCAGCTATTTGACTACGATCCAATACGCGAGGTTGTACCCACGTCATGTTCACTGTTCCTGCTACTTGATCGATAGCACCACGAACCAAACCTTGAGCTAAAGCTTTCATTACTAACAGTTCAACTTCACCAAGAGGTAATCGAGTTTCTTGAGAAATTTCTGTGAATGTTAGTTGTCTGCAACAAATAACACTTTCCATCACTATAATGAATTAATATGAATCCTTTTTATATAGTTTTTAATATTTATCTATAATAACACTTTAGTAGATAGATAAACAAAACAGACCTGTTGTTAGCTTGCCGTTTGAACGTCATTTCCATCAGGCACAGTAAAGAAATTTTTTGCCTCAGTTTTAATTCTTGTGCAGCTAGATCAGCAACTTTGCTCCATTGAGGTTTTAATCGTTCTAGTGCAGCAATGTCACCAGCATTGAAAGCTTGCAATAAATCGACAAGCCAAGAATTTGATGTGCCCTTCAAAGATTGTAAAACAGGATGAGCTAGCAATTCCCCAAGATTATAAACACCTTCACCCAAGAGTGCAGCTAAACCAAGAAAAAACGCATGTTGTTCCTGTTCTTGTCTACTTAAGGTACTTAAATCAATACAGCCCAGATATCTAAAACAAGACATTAATTTATAAGAATTTTTGATAGTACAATACATTCACTGTTTGTATAAAAAAATACCTTAGAGCAGTACGATAGTATTCAGCATGTTTTCCTTGCAAACGATAAAGACGACTGGCTAACAAATAAAATCTTCCATGAACTGTGGTAATGCCATCAGCATTATCTAACATAGCTTCTACATCTTCTATAATTTTTTTTGCTTGTTCTTGATCGTTTAATTTATCCAATAAAATCTGTCCAATAAGGACCTTGCAGAGAGCAACTGCTTCATTGCTAGTTTTAACTTTAGATTCAGTTTTCTCCAAAAATTTAATTGCTTCTTGTTTATCTTGAAACTGTTGTATTACGTGTGCTAATATTTCCACCAACGATAAAGGGTTTATTCTGAACACAAAGTATATACATATAATACACAAAGATTAACAATAACATTTTAAACAAATGCAGCAGTTTATTTGCAAATATTTTGCAATATGTATTCTAACACATTCGTTGCAAATTTAACTATTTTATACTTCCAATTAATTGATAATGTGTGGACTTTCTCTATTGCACTTGTAACTTGTTCTACATTTTATTTGTTTATTTATTTTATACATTTCATCAATGTTTAAATTACAATTTCATATAATAAATCGACTACAATTACAATTGAATTTCATTTGTCCAAAAAATGAAACATTGCAATAATTTAGTTAACAAGATATATGCCGCACACATTCAAGTATCAATTTACGAAGTCACAGCGAATTTGCTAAACTATGTGTAACTGTAATACAAAAGTGAGGTTATGATTCAACATTTAAAAAAAAAAAGTACATTTACTACACTTACTTATTCTCGAAGGTAGACAAAAAATTGACATATAATTGCACCAAATTATCTCCTTTCGAAAGAGTTGGATGTTTCACAAATGTTTCTAATTTAAGTGTCAGCTGATGCCAAAGCCTGCAAGTCACCGGACGAAGAGAGTAACATCAATTTTTTCTACTTCTACACAAATGTAATTTAGAATATTTTATAGGCAGTACCTTTTATTGTATAATTCTTCGAGCTGCGCCCATTCAGCAGCCAATTCTTTATCCGTAACATTTTGATTTTGACTTAAATATGTATTAACACCTTTCGGAGCTACGGCTGCCGCCATTTTTAATAACAATGACTAACTCGAATCAGCATACTGAAGTTAGGTGTGCGCCAATTCTACATTCTGGACAAAATCATAAAAAATTTATTTAGTTGATTATTCTTAACATATTTAATGAACCCAAAAGTTTTAGAAAAATATTTATGATTGAATTTTATGAATATTATTAAATGTTACTACAGAAAACATCTGCCGGAACTTTACATTCATTACTTATATATTTATTGAAAATTATTGGAAAATTAGTAAAATGAAATGTGAAACAAAAGCAATTAGTATCTACGTGGTTTAATTGTACAAATTATATGTGTGATTAAATTGTAAATTGTAAAGTGAAGTTTAGATAATAATCATTCAATCGATATTTTGTTATTCGATATACTACTCGACGGTCGCTGTTTTCGAGTAGTGCTGGATGAAACTAAATTTGCGAATGCAATGAATATTCGTACGCTGGGTGATTCCCGGAAATTTATTTGTGTAATGCATTACGAATTTCCACTATGGATTAAACCAATGATCAATTTCATATTCAAACAAGTGTATAATTTAAAAAATACCTCGTGATATGATCAACATTGTCTCAGATACATGGAATCGTCCATAGGAAGACGAAACATTAACTTGAATAGTTGATTGTTATTATTATTTGATTTTATTTGTAAATAAGTTCATGATTAAGATTGAAATCAACGGATTCTCATCAATGTACATTTAAGACTTTAAATGTTTAAACATGTTAAGTATTCAGCGAATTTTGACAGCTACCTCTCTTTTAATTTTATTCAATTATCATGAAGCAGTTGCTTCTCAAAATCTGTCATTCACACCTATCGTTATTGAGGCAGAATATCATAAAGAATATAAACTTATTATAAACACTACTGTTGAATATGTCCTTTTGTACCGCACTAACAATGTGAGTATTTATGGTCTCCTATTTAATGTTTGTGTCATATTTAATGTTTCTATTAACATAATGTATGACACATAATGTATGCAATCAGGTAACTTGGATGGAAACTGCGAGAATTGATGTTGAAAGCAATGCCACTCATGATCTGCCCCTTATTGTAGTTGTACGGCAGAAAAGAGGAATACTGTCGTGGCAGATTCCTCTTGTAGTAAATAACATGTATTTTAATGATTTAACTTATAATAAAACAAGTCGTACACTGTGTTCTACAAAAGAGTATAGAAATGAACCAGGAGCTCAAGAAGAATTTGTTACTGTTAGTTTGTCTACTGCTAGTCATATAAACATTGCATTTACATTGATTGTAACTGAGGATTTTCATTTTTATTTAAGGTATATCTTTTTATTAATTTGATTCAGTTATATGTTACGAAGAGGAGAGTAAGAAAATCTTAATGGATGTTATTTGTGCCTTATTTTAGACCAGGAGAGAAGAGATCTGTAACAATTTCCCCATCTGAACCTATTTATTATGGTTTTACCTTTCCAGAACAAACTGAAAGTTCTGTGATTGTGCACATTGAATCTGAGAGTGATATTTGTATGACTGTTTCAATTCAAAACACAACGGTAAGTTGAGTTAATTGTAAAATTTGATGTGAACAACTAATGGTAGATAGAGGTAGTATACAAAGGTTTGCTTAAATGTTTAAGTAACTTTTAAATAATTTTATTCCCTCAGAACAAAATATTGCCATACTTCATTATCAGAAATTTTATTTTTATTCAAACAATAACATGTAATGTTTTCATATTGTTTGTACTATTCAATTTTTTATGTATAAAATAATTTTGCCCATCTGTAACTACAACACTGTAATGATACATTATTATGTTATATTAATAAATATCTTTTTTTTATTTAGTGTCCTGTATTTGATTTAGAAAGAAATATTGAATTTGCTGGTTACTGGCAAACTGTTAATCGACAAGGTGGTATCACAGTGCCAGTAAGTATTTTTCATAACTGTTAATAAATGGAACAACTTATAGGCTGAAAGAGTATAAACACTTGTTTCAATAAAACTTAATTTCCATTATGACTTTTTTTAGAAGGAGGCATATCCGAGGGGATTTTTTGTTGTACTGGTAGTAAAAGGTGATGATACTGATTGCTTCGGATCACCTCACATGATCTCCTTGAGGAATAAAAATGTAACATTAATAGTAAATCATAGTATTACCAAACAAGATTATCTTATCGCATCAGGAGTAGTAGTATCTGTTATTTTAAGTTTTTGCATTATCTACATTGTGGGCATTGTAGCATTAAAAATTAAAGAGGGTAGAAAAATTGGCCAAGAATTATTGAACAATCAAGAATCTGGAAACATTAATGAACCTATACAAAGTCCTTCAACTATAGAAGAGGTAAGATAATAATTGCAGCATGACATTATAAATTATAATAAAAGAACAATATTAAGTTTTATATGGTATCTAAACTGAAAAGCATGCATCTGTTTCTACATATCTTCAGAAAACTTTTGTCACAGTTAGATGTATTGAATCAGGCATCGTGTTAAAAAATGAACTTCTATTTTATAAGACATAGAAAACGCGATAATACTAGAAATCAAGCATCTACACTTTTGTATATATCATAAATTGCAAAATAATATGGTCCGGTATTTACCGCAGTGGCCAAAAGTTAAATGCATGTTGTGGTATATATTTTTTGTATTATCGTTTTCCTACATGAACATGCTCCAAGTACACAAAACGATCTAAATCAAAGTTTTCGGTGATCCTATCATCGTTACCTGTCAACTTATGAATTTTAAGCTTAATTAAAAACTGTACTATTTGAACCATGATGACTAGAGAGTCTTACATATATATATATTTAGCATTATTCTTTGCTCATTATGCTTGTGTGACGCTTGTCTTACAAATTATTAATGTTTTAGATTGAGCCACACCAATCGGTAATAGAAGAAGACTCTTCACTGGATGAAGATGACATTGATATAATGGAAGATGCCCTGTCCGATAAAGAAGTAATACGAACAAAATTAGTGCTTGCAGTCTGTGATTTAGCTCGTAAAGATCCAAAAATTCTTAGACACAAATCCCGGTTGTACTTATACTACTTGGCAACGGTCGCCGTATTTTATACTTTACCCGTTGTACAACTAGTAATAACGTACCAGCATGTACTTCATGTTACCGGAAATCAAGATATGTGCTACTATAATTTCCTTTGTGCACATCCGTTTGGACTGTTGTCGGATTTCAATCATGTGTTTTCGAATTTCGGATACATTATGTTCGGTCTTCTATTTATTTTCTTGACGTCCTCCCGAGAAAACAATGGAATAGTCAAAGAAAAAAACAAATGCTATGGTATACCGGAACACTACGGATTATTTTATGCAATGGGTACCGCGCTAATTATGGAAGGTGTACTCTCAGGAAGTTACCATGTGTGTCCGAATAGAAGCAATTTTCAATTCGGTAATATGATTACTGTATCCTGTGAACTTTCGTAGTACCTTTGATGTTACAATTTATATTAACTCTATTGTTCTTTAGACACCAGTTTCATGTACATCATAGCAGTGCTTTGCATGATCAAGATTTATCAAAATCGTCATCCCGATGTAAACGCCCGAGCGCCAGTCACATTTGGCGCTTTGGCTATACTTATACTTCTAGGATTAGTTGGTGTTCTGGATGGTTCAAATGCTTTTTGGATTGTATTCACGATTATGCATTTAGTAATTTGTTTGTTTCTAACTATTCAAATTTATTATATGGGTCGGTGGAGATGCAGAGGCATTATTAGAAGAGTGATACAGGTAATTTTGTACTTTTTATGCATCGGTACTAATATGTCTACTGATTCTTTAAAACACGTTGCAGTCCTGCAGATACGAGGCACGTACGGGAATAAGAAATCTGTTACGACCGTTATATTTAGGACGATTCATAATGCTTGTCATAGCAAATTTATGTAACATTGCTCTCGCGGTATATGGAAATATAAGCCACGAGAAAAATTTTGCCACGTTTTTATTAGCCATATTAATGTCTAATTTAATTTTGTATACTATGTTTTATATTGTAATGAAGGTGAGTGTAAATGTGCGAATAACTCAAAGCGTTTATGTATCGAATCGTCTAAAATTGATTTTATATTTCAGATTTGTTATAGAGAGCGGATCCTTCTCCTACCAAAAATATATATTATTTTGACGTTTATGTTCTGGGCCGCTGCTTTGTATTTCTTTGTAAACAAAACAATTTCGTGGGCACTCACTCCGGCACAGTCTCGCCTTTATAACAGACCTTGCAAGCTTCTATACTTTTTCGACAACCATGACATTTGGCACTTCTTGTCTGCCTTAGCTATGTTCTTCTCATTCATGGTTCTGCTCACCCTAGACGATGATCTAATCGATGTACACCGAAGTCAAATACCAGTCTTTTGAGGGTAATGACACGAACAGGTGTTCATTCGTACTTCATTTTTGTTTATCTCTTCATGGGGATATGACTATATAATATACATTTTACCATTAATGAAGTAAAAATAGTATAAAATATATATGTATATATTAAAGATCATATAGTAACTATTTTGTATTAAACGCCTCAATTTCGTTAAACATTCGGATTTACAAAACTCTTCATTATTTATACCTTTCGATCAACCGTTTTCAATAAACTTTCATCTTACAACAGCAAATGAATTCTTTGATATTTTGCATCCCAATCACGAAGAGGTAGCATCCAATACTTTAGAACTTACCCATTAGTTTTTCCGACCGACACAACGGAAAAATTATGTGTAAATACATTCGCTTAGCTAGTCGTTCAGTAAGAATCAAACGCAACGAACAGACTTTTTCTAAAAATAAATATATATATAATATAATTTCTATATTTGGGAATACACTTATCGGTTTAGGAAACGGCAGTAACATTGTCTGATATCCGATAGCATCACCGTTGAACCGCACTAACGCGCGTCTTTACACTTTCCTCTCTACCATCAAGTAACGCTATCGACAGAAGCACTTATTATTACCTCTGCGAAATTATACTATTCCCGTAGAATTTACTATTAACAAGATGAAATAACGAGTGTCTGTACAATTAATTCTAACGGAGTTACATACACCAGGTACGTGGGATAGTCAGAGAATCGGGTGGGCTTTCTCAAAGCTAAGACGAGGCGCTCGAGTCATGATGGTGTTCCTGGGTGGTAGTTTCTATTTGTGATAATGTCCTAAGCAATTCCGCGCGTTCTGTCGGCTGTAATCGGTGGGCAATTTCTAAAATTGCGGTTAACCTCACTTCTGGGCAGGCCTCGAGAGCTTCTTTGATTCGTGAAACGACCGCGTCCTGTTTCACGCAAGTGATATTACGCGATACAACACTGTTCGCGTCATCGCATTGACCTTCCAGCCAGTTGGTCACAGTTTCATCCTGATCCCACAAGTAGGATTCTGTGGGACCCTTGTCTTCTATGAACCACCTACGTAACATTGCACCAACTTGTCGAACATTAAGATGCGGTTGCGTGGAAATTATTTCTTCCTTTATCGTATCTTCTAAAAGTCGTCTCCTGAGCCGCCAATAAAGTAATCGCCGAGCCTTTCGCCATGGTACAATGTCGTGAATTGCGTTCTTCTCGAACATTCTTTCCGGTGTGTCGTGGAGATCTGCGAAATGAACTGCAACTTGGTGATACATAGGTTCCAAGTATTGTTCTCTCTTGCGTATCTGAGACTCGATTTCTGTTCTTTCTTCTGGTGAACTTACAGTGGATAATTTCTCCTGAAATAACAGTACATGAAATCATAAAATTTCGTATATTACAAGAATATCTGTGCAAATGCAAAGTAGAAATATTTCATTGAATAATCATACTGGAGATCGTCTGTATAGCATGGAGACATCTGTCTACATATACTCTCTTGCATTGTACCGTCATTTCTTCATAAATAGTTGTACTTCATTGCATTAGTGTAGATGACTTAAAAACACTTACTTTAAGCTTCTGAATAACTGTGTCCACCCTGTGCATAGCCTTCAGTATATCTTTCATCCTAAACTTGATTTCCACTATTGCCTCGGGTTCCAGAACACCTGCTTTGCTTGTAGTATCAGCAAACATTTCCATGTAACGAGGGTTTATAGTCGGGTCGACTACTGCCCAGGCACCACCTCTCAATTCTCCATTTGGTGGGATATATACAAATATTGGTTTTGTATATTCTCTTAGTCCGTCTACTATGTAAGCGCCGAATTTGATGATCTGTTCATACATATCTGTGAACAAATACATGATTAATAATTAACATAAAAAATGGTAAAAATAGTACTCTCCAGGAATACACTAAATTAATCCAAGTTAATCACTCAGCATTAACAAATACCTTTCATTCCACCAGAGAAACCTCTCCAATTGGCAAATATAAAGAGTGGCAACTCTTCTCTTGCAAAATCTTGAATGGCCTGGGCAGTTTTGTACGCGCTGTCAGGGAACCATACTTGCCCCGCTTGAGATATTGTTTTGGCCTCGGAATCTAAATTCGCAGGGTCAGCTGGTAAATGCAGCTCGACAGTCCTTGTTTCTACTGCAATGACACCGCATGGAACGCCACCTAATCTGGCTCGTCCAGTTACGACAGTTTGAGCCCAAGGTCTCATTATTTCCTACAAATAATGTTGAGAGTGTTAAAGAAATTTGAGACGTATCGTTGTGGAAAGAAAATTATAAGTCATTTTTTCCATAGCTAATTATACTGTATCAGCTTGTTAGTTTGTGTGAAATGGTCTACCAGAGAATACTGTTCAGAGACTTTGGAACAGCGAATATTTTTTGCTCCTGGCAACAAGTGTATGTTGCAATGCATTTTTATCGTAGGGTAATTAACAATAATGGTACTGTACCTGCCAAGAACCTCGGTCAAAGAATCCACTTTCCCAAGCATTCACCTCGTTCTGTATATGCCTGCCTTCAAGCATCCATCTAGGATCGTAGGCTGCCTTTGTTGGAACATAACTGATTTCTCTGTCAACCGGATCGGGAAGCGGTGACGGTAATATAGGAAGAGGTGCTCCTTTAAACCTAGGACAATAGCTCAGCCATTTTAATGCAGTTTCAACACCGTCCAAGTCTCTTTCATCTGTCGCATGCGAAACACCATTGTTGTGCATGATTTGCGTACCACCCAGTTGATTGTTACTAGCGTACACTTCACGGCCTAGTACAGTGTTCAACGCTCTATAACCGGTCAAGATAATGTGCGAGTTCTCTATCTGAATGACTCTCTGTCCAAGACGTAACAGGTAAGCTCCAATACCGATAGCTCTACAGGACACAATAGAGATCGTGACTATATCCTGGTAGGCTCTGGACGTTTCTCCAGCTATCATACCAGCGTATTTCAAGTTCTCCACACCAAGACCGTCCTCCTTGCCGATAATATCAGTAATCTTGTAACGAGATTCTCCTCGATCTTCGATCAACGAAGCCTTTATAGAATTAAATGGTGCTAACCGCGCGTAGTCGTCCGGTGTCAAATAAATATATTTATAGCCTTTCTCCGGTTCATTCTCATCCTCCCAAGCGATCCTGAACAACGCTTTCACTTCTTCCGCCAGACCGATGCGAGCGCCAGAGTTCGCGGAGAAATAGATTCTAGGAATTCCAAGCTCTCTGGCCCGTTCAGACGCTCTGCAGAATAGTAAGTCCTCCTTCGGACCGAACGAACCAATTAAATGCGTCAGATCGTTTGCTATCAATATAATGTCCCGCCCAGTGTCTGGATATTCTGGCGTGTAGAGTCTTAATTTCCAAGCCACCATACCCACATTATTCTCACCATGGAGACGCTTCTGTTCCACTAGGTTATCACCCTCCAACACAAATTCCACGTAGTCCATCACAGAACTTGGGATGGTTAGATTGCAATTTGGTCTTTCTTCTATGTACGTATGCCAGAGTTTTTCCGTTTGTTGTCTGAATATGTCGAGTAAGTCGTACACGTAAGTCGTGCCAGCACTTTGAGCCTGGAATCGTTTCGCTTGAAGATAATCTTTGGTTAAATATGGCGTGGAGATCGGTAAACCATGCATAGGTCCTGACCTCCGGATACCACCGCTTGCGGTCGGCGACTGGAAAGTCTCAAAGCGAATAATACCTGTCTTTGGATCTGTTACCTCTGTGTACATATGTAAATCTATACTATAACCGCTATCATTGGCAATACACAAGCGTATAATGGACGTTGGCATGCCTGGGGACGGGCGAATTGTCATTTTGATTTCAGCCTGACGTACTCTTAATTTCCACAATCTGGGTCCGTATCTGAGTACCATACTGGTCACGCTTTCCTCTATTCTCACGGGATCCATAATAACCGTGGGTACAAAGTTCAGGAAAATATGATTGCACTCGCTGCGTTTGGCTAGTGGATGCGAGAACGCAACTTCTAACTCATCCATGGCCTCCAATAAAACACGCTCACCCTCGTTATGAAGATAATCAAAACTGGCCTCTTTAGTGATTAGATCAGAATGTCTTATAATTGAACGAATGAAGAACCGATAGTCGGTCACCTGTTGCCCTTTGGCGACCTTTGCATGGCCAAGGTAGAGGTGCATCTTTTGATTGGACGTGGGCAGGGCCTCCAGGTCATAGGTTCTCATTCTGTTCAGCTCCAACTGGAACGCACAACCGGGCTCGAGGTGTCGATAAATTTTATCTTCCAAGAAACCGTCTCTTTGACGGAAGGTAAAGAATTTCGGGAACTGTCGTTTCTTCAAAGCAGAGAACGTTACTCTTCGGATACCTCGTGAGATCAATTCCTCTTTGTTCGTGGTACACCAGTCTCCAAATAATTGTGCCAGAAAGACATCGTCGCGATTCTCTTTATTATCTTGAACGGCAATGCTTAAAATGTGTACCGGCTCAACGGATCTCTCGCCCATCTCCGCTGCAACACCAGCTTCTGCAGTACTTATAGACACGTTTATAGATGTGCTGTGTCTAGACTCGCTGCCAATGGCCTCCACCGCCTCCAGAACTTTGGCAGAGACTGCGATAGGCGAAGCCAAGTCTTCCAATAGGTCTAGCACTTCATCGGAATATCTGACGAACTGTTCCATATCGTGGAAGGCTGTCATGGCTCCAATTCTATGATTCACCGCGGATTGATTTTGTCGATTGGGATGATTATTCGGCAACAAGAACTGGAAATGCACAAGAGGAACTTCGCCCGAGAGTTCCAGGTGTTGCAAACAGGTTAGGTCATAACTAATGTACGCTCTTCGAACGTAAACTTCCAACGCAGCGTTACAGACTGCACGATTAGTATGATAGAAAAAGTCATGCAGAATATCGAAGATTGACGTTTCCGATAGGATCAATTTCTGTAAGTTTTCTGGATGGAAATCGTGACCGTACATGTCCACCGCTGACAAGAAAATAGACTCCATTTGGTTATGTCGCAATTCGTAGGCGGGTTGGTGAGCAGCAATCAAGATCTGTCTGGCGCGCAATGCCACCCTGCTGTGCTCTGTACGATTCAGACTAGTCAACTCTGTCAGGGTACTTGACAATTCGTCTGTGAGACCAGGCTCGTTCGCCCAAATGTGATCAATCAACATAGTCACCAGGACGTTCTTTCTGGTAACTTGATTATGACTGAAGATTATGGCTGTTACGGCAGCTACGTCGTCTTTGTGTTGCTCTATCAAAGCAGAAACACACTTGTCGTAATGACCTTGTTGGAACTGGCTCTCGACAGTATAATAATCTCTCAGAAGCTCGTGAACCACTGTCTTCATTCTTCCACGTATTCCATTCCTATACTTTTGTACTAATTGCACTATAACTTGTGTATTCAAGAAGAAGACGTCTCGTTCGGATCGCTTCGAAAGACTCGCCGCGTGTCCATCGATCACTGCGGCGATTTGCTGACTAGGGAATTGGGCCAAAACGGAAGTGATGTTTCTCTCGTAGAGCGACATCAGTTTTCTGATTTTCTTCTCGACGGAAATTGGAATTCTTCCGGATATCGAGGCGATTACCTCTTGAAGCTCGAGCAAGGGTAGACTAGGATCTCGCAACGAGTTCATGAATTTCTCAAGAAGTTCTCGTACACGAGGCACGTGGTACGGGTCAGCCAAGCAATATCCAGCCAAAATATTTTCCAAACCGATTCTGTACTTTGCATGGAGATGGTTTAATTTCTCAGAAACAGCGGGCGCTTCAGTCTCGGGGAACTGACCAGTATACTCCTGGGCTTTGGTTACCAACGATGGATCATCTAATTCTAATTTAGCGATCTGAGTACCAGCCTCGAGAATGGCACCTGGCCTTTTAATGTAAAAAACTTTTCCAGCTTCGCTTGCTGTAACCGTCATTACCATTTTCATAACCTCAATCTCTGCATAGGCTTGTCCAGCAGTAACGTGACCGCCATCTTCAACCAGAAAGCTGATCAGCTTTCCAGCCGAAGGTGATCGTAACAAAGACGGATCATTGTCTTTCTCGAAGATACACGTTTGATTGCCTATGACAATTCTGTAACGATCGACTTCCTCTTTCATGTAGGTAGTGAAACTTCCACCATCCAATGAGAGTAACAGACCTCCATCCGACAATCGGTGTACTTCTACTTCCTTATACGAACCGTTCATGACAAGAAAGTAACTGTTGGGTCCTGATTTGGCAGCTTGTACTTTATATTTAAAGCCATCATTAATGAGTTCGATCTAAAATTGAAGATAATGTTAAATGTTTAGAAGTTCCAACATACTATAACGGATAATCGTAAAATATTAAGTCGATTCTTATACTTATATGTATACCGTATGTGATACTGAGTTTATATTATTATTGAGGACTCACATCAATCACGTTGTCCAAATCATTACCACCTTGTATTTGTCCCTTTTCCAATGCAGTTTGGAACCCAGAGAATGCTGCAGTAATTGTTCTATCAGCAATATGAAGAGCCCCGCAAGTCACGGCCAACAATATATCCGGTTTGTCGCTTCTAACACGCTCAGAAATTAACAAATCGAGCCAAGCCGTGTCTATGTTGTTTTGCTGGAAGGATTCAGTTTCGAGTAATGTAATCAAATATTCGACGGTCGTCCTAAAGTCACCCCTGATGCTCAACTCTTTCAGAGCAATGACCAAATTCTCCCTGGCTTGGTGACGATCTTCTCCCCAGGAGAAACAGTGACCGAATTGTGAGTCCGCGAACTCGTGAAGACCGCCAGAAGCTCCTACCGAGAAATAACCCCAGACGTTCTTCGAGGACCGGAAGTTCAGTTCTTGGACAGTGCCCGAACTTGGCTTGAAACCTAAGAAATAAAATCTTATCAGTGTAACACCTATCACAATGCAACAATAATCGTGTCTACAATTATACTTATATTCACCTTCATCAGGATTTTCACTAGTAATTCTTGCAGCTATCACGTGACCCCACGGCTGAGGTTTGTGTCCTGGCTGATCAAAATCGATAATGCTGTCACCCCATGGATTTTCACCGTAAAGCAGACGAATATCTTTAATATGGTGCAACGGTAATCCCATGGCAATTTGAAGCTGAGCAGCAGGTAAATTGACATCTGACACCATCTCGGTGCAAGGATGCTCCACTTGCAGACGCGGGTTCAATTCCAAAAAGTAGTACCGTCCAGAAGTGTCGTACAGGTATTCGACAGTGCCGGCGCTAACATACCCAACCATTTTAGCCAATCTTACTGCGGCCTACGATGAAAGAACATAGCAAAAAACGGTTTTATGAAATGTGTTACATTGTTACTTTATATACAGGGTGTTCCAAAATAGCTTCGACTCCCGGAAATGAGAAGTTCCTGAGATTATTTGCAACTAGTTTTTCCTTAACAAAAATGTTATCCGAGGCTTTGTTATCGAAATATTTACGAAAAATCCCGACCAATCAAAGCGCGAGTCTACTGGCTGAGTTCCCGCGGTAACGTTGGCTACCAATCGCAGTACGTAACTCAACCAGTAGACTTGCACACTGATTGGTCAGGATGTTTCGTTGATATCTCGTTAACAAAGCCTCGGATAACATTTTTACTAAGGAAAAACTCGTTCCAAATCGTCTCACGAGTGTCCCATTTCAGGGACCTGCAACATTTTTGTTACACCCTGTATATCGCATATCCTGCTTCGACGACTGTGGTAGTTATCGACGAATATTATTAGTAATTACCTTCTCCATTTCTTCAAACACTTCCGGCTTGGCGATCACAGCTGGCGCTTCTTCAATAATTTTCTGATGTCTTCTCTGAATAGAGCAATCACGGCCAAACAATGATATCGCGTTTCCATAATTATCAGCTAATAACTGAACCTCCAAGTGTCGAGCACACTTTGCCAGTTTCATAATAAATATAGGAGATCCAGGTATCTCAGTTTGTACCTGTCTAAAAAGAGAATGCACTAAGTTTTTTCACAGGCATGTTTATTTTATTATTATTGCGACTATGTTGTGATCTTCTAGTAGATAATTGATTCATTCATCTATTTACCTAAACAACGTGGGTAATTCTTCAGCGTTCTCGACTTTTCTAATGCCTTTACCGCCACCTCCTTCACTGGCTTTCACCATGATCGGAAATCCAATTTTATTTGCTGCCGCCAAACACTCTTCCGCCGATGAAACGCATCCTTTTTTGAACAATTCCGAAGATATCTTTATCTTTTTTCCGCTATATTGAGCTTTCAGCTCTGATCCCGACCAAGGCAGCGTCGGTACTTCTGCAGTCTGTGCCACTATACTGGACGCGATTTTGTCGCCAAGTGCCCACATTGCTCTCTCAGACGGTCCTAAAAGAATTTTTTAATTATTTATTTTCACATATCGTTGTTTCATCAATTTTTACCATAGAGGAATCATTTAATACAATTTACTTATGGATTTTCAGACAATAGTTAAATTGTTAACAAGAACACATACTGATCAGATACAAAATTTCTTTGTTGTTTCTTTGTTGTGTTTATAGAACATAAAAAAATGATTTCAATTCCGAATGTGATTATGTATATCATTCTGACCATCGCTGTTATGGTATTTCCATATCCGCAACATTAAACGGAAGTTAAACAATTTTTACTACATTTTAGTGGACTAGTCTACAAAAACAAGAATTAAATAGAAGTTTGTCTAGCCGATTAAGAAGTCTATTGCATTGCATATAAAACAAAAGTTCAAAAATCGTCTATACATATAATCACAATCAAATTATATACCGTCCTTTACAACGATATTTTAATATGTTTTAAACTGGTTTTGTTCATACACTTAACGAAAATAAAAAATACATCCATTATTGAATGCCTAAGAATTATTTAGATTCAGAAGGAATGTTCGCGTAGTGATACACGCCGATTTTTCTGTAACTTTGCTTAATTATTTATGGGATCAACCTAAGAATTTTGTTGTATTTAGTCGGTGTTACTTTTAAACTTTAAGGGAGAAACCACCCTTTCTTTCTTTTTACTTATTTGCTTGTAACTTATGAACTACTAAAACGATTGAAAGAAGTTTAGATAAATTTTATATCGTTTTTAGTTGTCAATACATCGGTATGAAAAAAATGTTTAAAAAAAAATTGTCAAAAAATTCTTTTTTTTTAAATTTCTTCCTACCGATATATAGACAATTAAAAATAGTATACAATTATAGGTGCTAAAATTCTTTTTCGATACTTTTTGTAGTTCACGAGTTACAGGCGAATAAGTAAAAGGGATGCTTCGGATAGAAGGGGTGGTTTCTCCCTTAAAGTCTAAAAGTAGCACCACCCAAATACGGCAAAATTAAGGAAAATTACAGAAAAATCGGTGTGTATCAGCTTGCAAACATCTTTTCTTAGTCGTTTTGGTGTGTCCATTTAAGTGATCCAATTGGTATTTAGTTTTCTATTAATTTTATCGTCTCATTGATGACGAATATCGTCGTACCGATGAAACAAATGTTGTTTTTATGTAACAATTCCGGTAATTTCGGGTTCTCGGAGGCGTGACCCCATCCAGCCCATACGGCCTGGACCTGGGTGCGTATGGCGATGTCGACGATCAGCTCGACGTTCGCATAATTGTTGTTGTTCGCTCCGCCGGGTACAGGAACATATTGGTCCGCCATTTTGATGTATTCCGCATTCGCTTTCAGATCCTCCGGCGTGACCATCACGACGAATCGGACGGCTCGTTCGTTCTTGAACATTTCGTAGGACCAACGACGTATCGAACGCATGCATTTTACTGCCGCTATTCCGTTATTTGCAATCAGGATCTGTGTGCATAAAGAATTTTTAGGTTAAGTAGGTCATACGGATAGCGCCATATCGGGCAACATTACAGTAAATTCTCGATGAATGTTCGATGGTTTCACGGCACTGACAAGAAGAGGTCCACAGGTGTAACGCTGACTTTTTAATGAAGTTCAGCACCGTCATAGAACTTGGAATTCTGAAGCTAATGATATTTGTTTCAGCCGCATATGGCCATTAGTTTATGAAATATTTCGTGTTCAGTGCCGAGGAGCCTCCGACCACTTATCGAGGATTTACTGTAAATGCAACTTTGGACAACTAAAATCTTGCAATTTGAGGCCCTCATTATTTGGCCTATTAGACTGTGAATTTTATGCATTCACGTTGGAAAATACACGGTTCTCTGTCAATTACAAGTTGTCTGTACAATAGGAAATACGAATGAGCTCAATGAGGTTTTTCTTTCATTTCGAATCTGATAGACTCTTCAACACTAGGACTGCCAAAGGAGTCAAAATGACTGGTTATAGTACTAGTATCTTCTTAAAACGATAATTAAAATGTTATAACAATGTATATTCTCAGATCTTTTACAACTTTCATTGCAATATGAAAGTGAAGAAACGAGTTAAGTTATAAATTGGTATATTTTCAAAATATAGATAGAAATAGATATATGTTCATCTGCGGTAGTTCTACTGTTAATGGAGCAGATGGTGTCGTTTAGCATTGCAGCTAAGGGTTGAATGACACACTGAATGAATACTCTTCAGTGTGTCATTGGAATCCTGTTGAAGTCAGCTGTAGTGCTGACGAAACATTCGTATAATTTTTCCAAAAGACCGTGTATTTTATGCCCCAGAATCTCAATAGTAATAAATGATCGTTTATTGAAAATTCCCAAAATTCAAATGTAAAATGAGAAAGAGTGAAGCTTTCTTCGATAAAAGGGCGAATATGTACTTTAGTGTATCATGCAAATAGCAAAGGTCGTTTAATACTTGACAAATTTTGCAGTACTAAACTTTGCATAAGAATACAATTTCGAACGAAAATGGTGTCAAAATATGTTCTGTTCATTGATTCTTCGAAATAATCGAGTTAAGTCAGATGGTTAGATTTTATTTAGCCAATCGGCTGAATTACAATTTTTACATTTTCTGTACTGAAATGTCGAGGATACTTCAAGGTCGTGATCAGTTTCTTTGTAGAAGTATTGAATAGTTGTATTTTTGTATCTGCGTGTTGCGGTGGACGATTTCGAAACAAGTATGGCGAATCTAGCGTTCAAGGTCATTCAAGGTCAGTTATGTTACAAGGCTTTGGCCGGTTAATGTTCGTTGCGAAACGGTACGGTGAGTGGCTCGTAACGTACTCGAGCGGAACGGCACATCTGTGCGTTGAATGACCTGCTTCGCTCCGCATTTTATTTATTTTTATGTAAACACACGCACATAGTTAAACATTAACATAATTTTTAACGATTTAATTTTCACATTTTACAGTTCATACTATCGTTTCTACCATTTTAATCAATATTATATTAACATATAATGGTATATTATAACAAATACATTAGACCGAATTAACAATAGTGAATAATAATTTGTATGCAAATAACAGTGAAAGATAAATTTTTTAAAAGTTCATCGTGTAAAATATTGGAAATTTTTATAATATAACCAAGAAACTTTCTTGGTGAAAATATCGCATTGTTTTCGAAGATTGAAAAGAATATCCTATTTTGACAGATACTTTTCTGCTCTGTGGAAATGCAAAATGGAGGTAGAAAAATCGAAAATTGAGTAGTGGAACGAAAAATTGATTGTTCGACTTTTTAGCATCGTCCGAGAGGCGAACAATGGCCGCCACGTAGCGTTGGCTAACCACTGTCTAACAAACTTTCATTCGAAGTATTCTTTCTCTCCCTAAACACGTTGCGAGATACGTGCCAGCGATCTACTACATATTTGGAACGTTCCACATTCAGATGCGTGATGTAATATCGTGACTATCTGACTGCGGAAAAAAATAAAAGAAAAAAGGTTGTACAAATACTGAGAAATGTCTACAAAAAGAGTGTAAAATACGAGATTCATGAGATCTTGGTTTTTGTTTAATGGTTGTCAGAATGTGTTTCACGTCAGAGTTGCATATATTACGATTAACGCAGAAGAAAGAGTTCATTGACCACGATTATGTTTCTTACTCGTGATTTTGTATTAATCACAACGAATAGAGAGCATTTTGAATAGCTCTGGTTTTAACTCTGACAGTAATAATCAGTATTTCATCTTTTTAGTTATTTGTGTGAGTAATGATATATTTTTGTGGAAAAATTCTATGACAGATTTTTTAAGGAGAGTTGTAGTTTACAGAAATCTAAAGTAGGATAAAATTAGTCGTAGAACTATATTTATTATATAAATTATATAAAATTAGTCGTAGAACTATATATTTTAAATTATGAATTAACCCAGATAGCATATGACGCCTTCAAGACGCCTATTTGACGGCTTTTTTAGGTCTAACCTTTAAGTCGTGTTTAAGGTGTCATTGAGCGTCATGTGCTATCTGGGAGAAGATATGAACCGCGTATGTATTATGATTTTTAAACTAAATGTAATTTAGTTACACAAAAGTACTACAAAAAGAAAATAACGAATTCTGATTTTCTGGCTATAAACTTTGGACTCTGAACTCTGAACCCTGAACCATAAGCTACGAATAACGAATTACGAACTATAGATGATCATTTCAGAAAGTCTTACCTTATTGATAACTTTGGTCCCGCCAAACCGGTGAACGAATTCCTCAGGTGTGGCGATGGTGAAGTCCTTCTCAAGGAGCCTACTCTGCGCCTGGATCATCACCGTGCCCTGCGACATGCTGGGCCTAGGAAATCAAATTGAACAAAGGTTACTGTACATTGTACAAACTGGTTTTTCTAATCAGTGATTAACCAATAAACGGAAATCACTTTAAATATCGAGTACATATACCTTATAAGTAACTGCATTATTATTAAAATTTCACTGAACTGTCTGAATAACACTGAATTTACACTCTGACAGTTAGCATAATCTCCAACAAAATTTTTTAAGCGTTAAAACACTTTTCTGACGAAACAGAAGCACTCAATTCATCATACACAATGCTTTAATCTTATCAAATTTCAGCAATCCCAATTTAATTTATTTCATTTTGAACTTATAATATAACTATTCATTTTTTATTTTCAGGCTGAAGGTATGGCATATACGTAATAATTGCCACGGGAATGTCTTCTAACACCGTTCAATCACAGTATCAAGTTCCAACAACTATCATTAATTATGCTTGCTTTAACACAAAAAAATTCCAAGGATCCTCGTTTGGTTGTTTTTATTACTTCTCAATACATATGTCCCCTTAATATATCAAGTGTCATGGTGGTTACCGATGATCACTGAATTAAATTTAAAAAACGATCACTATGACTAAACAGTAACGCAATTTTGCAAATATTAACTTAATCACCTAAAGTATGAATAGCACATAAAATATTTTAGTTTGTAATAGTAAACATTATTTATATACTCGGAAATTATCATATAAATTAAATCATATTTTTGGTAGTAAAAATTTAAATATAGTTCAATACTATATTGACCAAATAGTGAGAAATTATCATACAATTCAAAATCATATTTAAAAGTAAAGTAAATCATACTTTTGATACTAAATACTTCAACGTAGTTCATTATTGCGATGGCCTAATGGTGGCAATGTCGACAGTGAATGGCGTCAGGTCGATGCTCTCGAAGAATCGGAAACAAAATTTTTTTCGAAACCGAATAGGAATGCGTAGTCGGGAGGGAAATGGGGGATACCGTTTTCCTGCATTTTTTCAGGGTAATTCCCGTCGTTCATTAGCCGGAAACGCGGGAATGACAGCGGAGAAAGTATACGAACCGTTAATTTAAGCGGTTCACGCAAGGTCGTTCCTACAACACTAGTAAGTAACGCTTTCTGAGCCCTCTATGTATTTCGTTCAGATACGATTCTTCTATTCTTTTGGGAGCATTTCTCTTCCTCGTTTGATTTGTTCTACGATTTGTCCCACGAATTTCCTTGGTTCTCTAAAGTATCTTATTGGGTTACGAATAATATAAAAAGAACTCGTCGAACCAGATGAAAGTTTCCTCTTTTATTGTGTTTCATAGAGCCCCTATAAGCTAAACAATTACATAAAATCCGCGAGTCTAGTAATTAGTATCCGATACATCGTAATTAATTCTAATTCCTTCGAGTTTGTCTTTCGCACTTTAAAAAACGTCACCGAAATGGCCATCGACGGTTCCCCTGCTATTTACGGTGGTCCAAACATACGAGGGAATGGAAATTACTAAATAATTAACCAACTGGCCGTCCCCCTCGAAGGCCGAACGACGAGGACCATGAATTTTGACCGAAGACAGATGCGCTCATGTGTAAAGTTTAACCAGTCTCCTGCGTCGTTGGTTCTGACTTTCAGAAATTTCAAGGACCTGATCCAGCATCACAGTGCCAGCTCAGAAATTCAAAATGTGACGTCCACGAACATTCAAGAGATCTCGATGCACGCGACGAGACCCGATGAATCGTAAAGGAACCGATTGATGACGAAAGATATTATTATACATAAAACTAGCAATATAGAAAGAAACACGCTAATTTCTGCTATCGGAACTGTCAATTGCAAAAATACTGAAAGTAAGTTTTTGCGAGGACTAATTAATTGACAGGTGAAGCGAGTTTTTTTTTTCTCAAATTTAATATGAACGTTTTTGTAGTGGTTGAAGTTGAGCCGTTTATTTGACAAACTGATTAACACCACGAATATTATTAAGGAAGTTTTATTTTAAATATATAAAGTTAAACATCGATCAAGTGTTTTGGCAATAACATTTGAAAACATTCAAATTAGTGGAATTAGCAGTTTGGCTTGTGAATGATTCATTCTAGATGAAGAACTTATATCTGTTTTTATTGACTGCAGAAGAATGTATTTTAGGAAACAGGGTGTCCCACATACAAGGTGTCCCACATACAAGGTGTCCCACGTAAGTGTCGCCATGAAATTTTAAGACTTTCCTCGAACTTTACAAAAAATTGTGTTAAACAAGAGTTACACTACATTTAAATGTACCTAACTTTCGTAAATCGGAGTTTCATTGCCTGCATTTTTTTCGGAGAAATAGATGTTACCTTTTGTTTTTTAAATGAAACTATAACATTTTTTAGTTATTTTTCATTACTACGAACAGTGACAAATCCAACAACTATAAATATGTTACAAAAAAAAAAATATTGTAGACAAATGTCAACAGAAGTTGTCAACATCGTGGTATAACTGTTCATACGTTATTTGTGTCTTTTTTGTAACATATTTATAATCGTTGGATTCTTATGAATCGTATAATGAAAAATATTTAAAAAAATGCTGTAGTTTTATTTAAAAAGCAGAAGGTAATATTCATATCCTCGAAAAAGTACAGATAAAGAAACTCTGATTTACGAGAACTGTGCACTCTTAAATACAGTCCAACTTTTCGTCTAACACAATTTCCTGTAAAATTCGAGGAAGTTCTGGAGATTTCGTGGCGACACACGCGTGGGACACTCTGTATACGTACAGTGGCTCGCACAGAAAATCATCCACTACCCTCGTTCCTTGTTCGCCATTGTAAAATCGACTAAATACAAATAAAAGATGTTTATAATCAATATAGAAATATTCTTTACTTATTGATATAAAATGTGAATAGGAAATAAAACGATTTATGGAATAAGGACACACTAAAAGTCGTCCATCATTTATAAAACTTAAACATTAATTAAAAAAAATATATACAAATCAAATATATTGTCGGATGGCCTCTACTATTTTCTATACTTTTTAATCTATTAAACATCGATGTTTATATATATATTACATTCTGTAAAGAAAATTAAAGAAAGTTCGTGGACGATTTTCAATGCGAGCCACTGTGTATACTCTTCCTCGAAATACGAATAGTAAAGACATTAATTATTAAATTTCAACTTCAAATTTGAAAATGTGAAAATATATTACGTCAACCCGGGCGGCGAGAGCAGTTTCTCGCTTGGCGGATTTTCCACGATGGATGTCCCCTCCATGGATGTATCTTTCGCGGGCATCTCGTTCGTCTCCTCCGTGGAGATCGTCGGCACCGCGTTCATTTTCGACGCACCGACGCCGGCCATCAGATTGTCCGAACTCTTCCAAATCGGATCCTTCTCTGTGCGTTGAGCCAACACGAAACGTTTGATCCGTCTCATTCCGTAACCCCCTTCCCCAATATCCCCCCGGAAAACGAAGATGTCAAGGATACCACCAACGGTCGGGATAATCCTCCGATGCACCAATCGATCGACGATCGATCTTTCGTCACTTTTTCCACGTCTACCGTTCGATCAACACCCCGCAAAAACCACCACTTAAATCACCTTTTTTCTTCCCCTACCTCTCATAAATGTATACGAACTTCCCCCACGAACACGATAAACGGGACTTTCCACAGATAAAACGAACGAGTTTCCGCTGGAATCTGGAAAGTGATCCTTCTTCTCGTGAATCTTTAAGGAACCGTCAATTGGGCCGATTTTTCCTTGTTTCTGGATGATTCGTCTTGGTATATGCAAATAATACTTTATTTTCGTCCGAAGGTATTATACAGTGAATTCGTAGACTTGTGAAGTCGAGGAATTTCGAGGTCCCAGGAATTTCGTTCTAAGATCAATCTGGATCGTTCTGTGAGTCTTTTAGTGATTCTTTATATTATTCAATACTCGAAGACGAATTTTTTTCGTGTCTTCTTCGATTTCTTGCGAGGATTCGATGGGATGTGAATACATTTAACGAGTTACAACGTTTATTTCGACTTGACTGCGATCGCGGTATCGCAGATCTCGATCATTTTGTGTCTACACCCGTTCAGATAAGATTCTTGAATTGGATAATCGCCGATAATCCATGCAGCTTCCTCGTGTTGTGAAATCGTTTTTCAGCGATTTAGACACGTTGGTTACTGCGAATCAGCGAAAAAACCCGCGTGACGTTCGATCATCGATTTACATTGACGAGATCACAAGAGATCTCTTCTTGTTTCAGTTTTTTTCTATTAATCAGTTGCGTCAGAAATCACCTGTCTGTGACTTCCATTCGATGCACGACGCTTGCGTTGGGAACTTGAAGTGTGAGTTTTAGGAATATCGAGCCTCGATTTTCATGATCGTAACAATGACAGTTCGAGATCTGGTGGTTTTCGATGATCGATGGTGAAGACTTGAATGCTGGGCAGATGCCAAAGGTAGTTAAAATTAGTTGTTTGTGGAAGTGTGGTCAAGATTGTAAATTTTTTAGACGATCCTAATTGTTAATCACTCCAATGGGCCAGAATTTGACAGATTTCGAAGAGACTCGAACGCTTGTCTAGCATTCACAGGAACTTTTATGATCGATTTGTTAACAGCAATTAACCAGCTACTATTATTTTGTTTTCAGTTAAAGATTTGAAGTTTCGAATATTCCAGCTGCTACACCGATGAATACTATTTCTACTAGATTTACAGAATCATACAACAGGAATGAAAAAACAGCAGAGAACTCGTGGCGGCTGGATACTTGATCACTTGTTTACCAACCGTAACTCCTATTTATAGCGATTCGAATTGATCAAAGTCTAAATTTTCGATGAGAACCGATGAAACCGTATATCACGCCTTCGAGACGACCTGAAGACCCATAGTAGAAACGTTGTTGTCCATGATTAGAAACGTAGATCAATTTTCGGTTTCCTCAGATTTCGGTGGATCAAAGTGTAAATCTTCGAAAAGAACCGTCAGAAATC